CAACCCAACTAAGTTACTTGGCCTCATCACTCCTTTATGGATTTTCCTTCGTCGCTTTCTGATACTAGGACTCATTCTGCTCTTCCTTGGAGGCCTATTCACCGTGGTTCTCATCATTTTCTCGCTATTGATCATCGTAACGAGTCCTGTATGGATCCCAACAAGCACCGTTTTCTTCCTTGTCATTGCAGGATTCCTGTTAATGCGCAGGCTCGGTGTTATTGCTGTGGTTGCCTTGTTATGGCCGTATCGCTACTTTACAAAATCAGAAGGCGCCATTGAATTGAAGGCTTGCTCAACAGCTGGTTCGATCGGATGTTGAAGTGGTTTAAACTAGCTTGCTTGCTTCCTTTCTTTCCTTCTTCTTATTATTATTATTATTATTATTATTATTATGTGTCAAGATATATGAAGGAAAAAACTACTCTTATGCTACATGTGATAAATTTCTCTCCGACACATCATTCGATAACTGTGCCACCTTTTTCTTCTTTTATCTTTTTATTTTTCAAGTGGTAAAGCCCACAAATTTATCTCTATGAGACATGAAATAATTTATCTCTTTTAACATGAAATTAATAAAACTCATATATAAATTGTGCTCATTTCTAGTTTATTTCTTTAAATACTACATATCTCGGGCTTTTTGACCTTATTAATCTCATTTTCATAAGATTTTACCGGAATAATTTCTTGATCAAACGTATTACCTATATAATGCATAACGACGCGGTACTGTGGAAATCAATTTAAGACGTGGCACTTTAGCAACCGCGTCCTTTGCATTTGATCCTGACCACTCGAACGTGATACCCTGACAATCACGTCTTATTCCAAAGACGCGGAAGCGGAAGCACTGACACGCGGCTGATAGGGTACCGCATCTTGCGAATAGGACGTGATTGCCAGGGTATCACGTTCCAGTGGTCAGGAACAAATGCAAAGGACGCGGTTGCTAAAGTGTCACGTCCTAAAGTGATTCCCACAGTACCACGTCGTTATGCATTATATAGGTAATACGTTTGACCAAAAAATTATTTCGATAAAATCTTATGAAAATGAGATTACTGAAGTGAAAAAGCCCATATCTCGTCATAGAAGTGTTAACATGACAGATAGTCTATCAGTGACCTACAAGGTGACTTATCTCGTACCTGACCGAACTTAGCCTAAACATAAAACACAACAACATGCCTAGGCTAAAAGAGTATCACAAATACATTCCTGCAGTTGTGGCAGACAAATATTTTTGCCACACATTATATCTTATCAGTAAGATATAGTATAAATTTGAAATGAAGTTTTTTTGTGGGATTCACTCCTTGTTTTGTAAGAGTGGCCGGCTCCCTTTTTCTGGCACAATTGTAGAAAATTAAAGACCAAAAAATATATTTAATAAACAAAGAATATTTTTGCAGTTGTGTTATTTTTCTGCCACATACTATGCTATGAAGCACCGACACTTCAAAAACTCTGATGTGTCGTGTCTGACACTTTTCGACACTCTCCGACACTCCAACACATGTTATAGAAATTCAAAAAAAGTTCAAAGATTGCGTTACATTGGATTTTTAGTTCCAACTATTAGATTTGTTGGATTACGATTACTATTTTATTGAGTTTAATATAAATATTTAGGATATCTTAGGTTTCTTTACAAAATTTATGAATATTATAAGTTTAGTTTCGTTCTATTGTTAAATTATTAAATATTAAATATAACATACAATACATAAATTAAAAATATTATTTAATATCAAAACGTGGCCTAACGTGTTGAAATCTAACATTTTTTAGAATTAACGTGTCGGAGTGTCGTGTCATATCGTGTCTCGTGTCCCGTGTCGGTATCGGTGCTACATAGATACTATGTCTTATGGGTAAGACATAATGTAAATTTGAAACGAACTCTTTTTTTTTTGTGAGATCCACTCCCTTTTTTATGGGACCCACTTCTTGTTTTATGAGAGTGGCAAGCTCCCTTCTTCCTGTCACAGCTGCAGAAAACTAAAGCCCTTTAATAAATAGGTCTTAGGGTGGATGAATTTTCTCTCTCCAAAATCTGGTTTTTTTAAAGAGAAAAAACACTTCTAAAAAAAGTTCTGTTTGCATGCCTATTTTAAAAAAAAAAAAAAAAAGTCATAAAAGAGTCAAAATTCTATTTTTTTTTAATGCTAAAAATTTCAGCTTCTAAAAAAAGTAGAAGTCAAAAGTAAAATATTTTTTTCAAAAATCTAAATAACTTTAAATTTTATAAAAAAACATTTCTAAAATAAATAAAGCATAAAAAATATTATTTTTGGAAGTCCATCCAAACGAACCCTTAGGCCTATTTTAAAAAGTATAATCTACAAATCTTAAACTTAGTCTTTTAGTCTTTATAAATAAAATGATAATTTTTTTAAGGAATTTATACTTCTTTTGTGCGGCAGAATAGCACAAATTGCAGCCGACACAAATATTGCGGGGCCCATCTGATTTTTAAAATAAGAAGGAAAAAAGAGCTCGAATTTCCATATCTCAATGGCATATGAAGAATGATTTGCTTTTAAACCCATTTATTTAATATTATACCCAATATTCTTCGCAACTTGTAAGTCTCTTATCTATTAATTAACCCTAGTTTTATTCCTAACCCTTATTCGTCGCACAACATCACCATCATTGCACCATCGCGCGTGCCTCACATCGCAGCACACTTGCATCATTGTTGAAGTTGGTTCTCTTCTCTCCCCTGTTTTGTTCTTTGCCTTTCTTTGTTTTAGAGTTAAGATATCTAAAATCTACTATAAAGCTTCGACGCAGTTGAGTGTTATGTTATTTCTTCATTTTATTTTTTCTATTGGTCGAAACATGTATATTTAATTTAGGCTTTAATGTTTCTACCTTGAATGTAGATAAGTTATATTTATATTCACTCTCAAAACGACGTCGTTATAGATTGAAAAATTATAATGAAAAAGACTATTATAATCATGAAATAAATTATAATTACAAAAATATCTTAATTTCTGTCATAAAATGACGTCATTTTGAGCTCAATATAGATAACTTATCTACATTAATTGTAAAAAAATAAATACCTTTAATTTATTACAATTTGTATTACGGTAGGCCTTGTCATGCCAGGCCTCTTACTTTTTAAAAACATGTCATATTAGACAAATCGGACCTATAAGTTCGCACTTATCAAATTAATACGTCAAGCCAAGCTTTAAATATTATGAGCAATTATGAGACCAAAATCTAGCTGTCTCATCCCATTTATATCCTTTACCTGATCACCTTTTATCCTAATTCTTTATCAATAATGTTATACATCAGTATCATTTTATACCTTTATGCTTTTTGTGATTTGATTATAAATAGTTTTTTTTTTAAATCATGCGACATGATGTATATCCTTTGTGATTGATTATCAAGATTTTTGTTTTTTTTACTTATGTTACTATTCAATTTGAGAAACAGTAAAGGAAACAACGGATTTCAATCATGCGAGATGATGTATATCTTAAAATCATATATTAAATATATTTTTTTCTTTTTTTGGTGAAATATTATTATTTTTTCTTTATAGACATACTAATAAAGCAAAGAGCACCCCCGAATATGTTAGGATTAGGATTGTCTGCATATTTTTAAACTCGGTAGGGTTGCAGTTTTTCATCAGGCTATTAAGATGTTGAAGTATATTTATCATGGGTTTGGTGTTTGTCATTTTAAATGACATAAATTATGTCATTTTAGGAGAGAGATAGACACAAAAAAATAAAAATCATGAGAGAAAGAAAGTGGATGGCTTTTTTAATTTAAAATTTAAATAAAAAAATTTCTGTGTCTGTTTCTCTCTTAAAAGGACAGAGTGTTATGTCATTTAGAATGACAAATACTTCTGCCATTTATCATTTATATTTATATTATCTTATGAAGTATTTCTTACGATCAAGATTTTATGCAATTTTTTTCAAACTGCAAAGAATCCATTTTCCTTTGTGGTTAGTCCCTTTGTCAGATACTGGACCAATCACTTTACAAAAGTTATATTAACATAAGACTTGTGGTAAATTTCAGTTTATTTCCTACTGAATTGTCAAAATGGATCACCTTATCCCATTATGCTCTAGCGTATGTGGTTAGGGTGAAAAAATATATTGGGTCAAAAAGCCCGTAATAAGAAAAATTTGTTGGGTCAAAATATCTATAATAATAAAAATTACTAGGGCCAATTCACAAGCCATCTAGCGGACTTTTAGTATATGAAAAAAAAAATTATCAGGAATCGTCATTATTGAAAATATGGTAGAAAAAAAAGTTTTTGGAAATATTGCTAAAAAATTATTTAATAGGTCAAAATATTATCGAAAATATTAACTAAGTTTCCTGTACATATATTTGTTGGAAATATAAGGTGAATTTACAAAAATAACTTCATAATAATATTTGACTTTTGAAACTCAATTAGAAAAAAAAAACAATACGCATAAAGAATGAACTATTTCATTCGGAACGAAAGGGTATGTTTGATTGTGTTTTGGATTTTTTGTTCTTAAAACTGTTTTGTAAAATAATTATGGAAACAGTTGTTTTCTATGTTTTGAAAATTAAAAATCAAAACAGAAAACAAAACCAACTCAGACATGTTCTCTAAATTTGATTCTAAAAATAAAAAAATAATTATAATTTTTAAAATTCGTTTTACGAAATCAGACTTTACCAAGAAGTTTTTTTATTTTTTTGTTCTAAAACTAAAAACTGCTTTTAAAAACATTAGTTAAAGAGAGTCTTTCTTTCTCTCTCTATATTTCTTCTTGAGATGTGCAATTAAGCCATACCCTGTTCGTATTTTTTCTTCTTCTTCACCCTGTGATGTTTCTCCGATAACCCATTTGGCTTCAAGTTAGCTTCTTCCACTGATTAGAACAACCTTTGACATGTTCTGTGATGGGTTATTTACTTGTTTATTTTTGCATGTGTGGCTCTTATTCGTCACCCTTTAGATAATGGAAAGTGCTCAGTTCCTTTTTCATCATGCCCATGAATATCTGTGTGCAGCTATTTCGAAATTTGAGGATGCCCTTTTAACAATTTTTGATCTTTTTCAAGGAATCTCTTGTTTTCAGAGTTAATTTTTTGTTGGGGGCTCTATTCTGGATTCCCCCTTGGATGTAGTAGCATACACAGACCTGTTTCACAGCAAATCGATCTAATAAGCTAGGGGTATTTTGATCCTGAAAATGTGTTATTACTTTCCCACTGGTGGGAAAAAAATACCATCCCTTCATTCCTTGGATGGTGTTTTCAGTTGGCAATCGTGTGTGTAAATATAAAGCATGGGGGAAAAAAAATTCCTGCATTATTTTTAAATTCCTCCTACCAAATGTGAAAAAATTATTTTCCCCATCCAATTTTTTCAAGATTTCTTACAAAATTCTCCTACCAAACAGCCTCCTAAAGTTACAATATTAAAAAACTCATTTTTTTATCATATTTAATATGTTCAAAATTATTCTAACTAATACATTTTTAATACTTTCTTAAAAAAAATTACATAAAATATTAATTTTTTCCAATAATTAAATAGGTGAGTCTATATAAAAAATAGGTTTAAAGTTTCTAAAATTATTTTAGATAATTTTATCTAATATTCAGCAAAATACACATGGGTCCATGTGAATCCATATGAAGAGAAGAGAAAAAAAGAAAACATGAGTCTCACATACTCTTATACTTGTATTTTGGTGAACATTAGATAAAATTATTTAAAGTATATTTATAAACTTTAAACCATAAAAAATATTAATGTCCCGGTCATTTTTATTATATCTTAAAATAATATTGATATTTATTATTAAATAATACTGGGAAAAAAAAATTTGTCTCTTTCATAAAATTTTTGGAAGAGGATTATACTTACAATTATTTTTATGGTTATTGGATCGAAATTAAATCAATGGTTATAAAATAACATTAAATGAGAGCCATTGATTTAATTTTGATCTAACAACCATAAAAGTAGTTGTAAGAGATTACAAGAAAAAATAAGTTGTAAGTATAACCTCTTCCAATTTTTTAAAATGACTTTTAACTTATCAAATAAAATAACATGGCATGGCAACATTATAAGTTACTCTAGAATATTCTATGTTTTTCTTTATTAATTTTCAAGAGTTGTTCGAATGGGTGATTGTAATTCTGTTACAAATATCTTATTAAATAGTAACAAGGTAATAGAAAAAAAGGATATAAAAGGAAGTTAAAAAAAAATCTCTCTCTATCCCCAATTCCTGATCTCTTTCTTATTCCTAAATTCTCTTTTTATATTCTCATTTATAAGCATGAATTAATTCATTTACTCATATAAATAAAGGGTTCATTTTTTCTGCAGTCCAACGTAGATAAATTATTTACATTGAGCCTAACACGACATCATTTTATGACAAAAATCAAGATATTTTTTTAATTATAATTTATTTTGAAATTATTATAATCTTTTTTATTATAATTTTTTAATATTTCAACCCAAAACGACGTCATTTTTAAAGTAAATATAGATAACTTATATACATTATTGTAGAAATATTGAATAAATAAAATATCCTAAAAACGCCAAATTTAATGGCAAAACATAAGACAAAAGTTTGTTCTTTTGAGAGAATTTGTGCCCACACAAACAGTGTGGAGTTCCAAATTAAAGCTAAACTTCTTCACTGTGAAGAGTTTCATGATTTATTTTTCCTTCTCTCATTTGGACAAATAAAGTATTAAAATTCAAACGACTTCATCATGTCATACCTTTCTTGCTTGCACATTACATGTTGGATATGTAACCTCCAACATTACATTCCTCTTGAATGACCTCCATGTCTTTCCTGAAATGGTCACATTCACATTAGTGTTGGCCACAACATTCCCTTTAACCTTAATCAATCAATCAATCATATATTATTCACGTGCAATTGTGACATTGTCCAAAGTATTCAGCGAAGGCCTAAATGAAGCCAACAAGCCAAACACAACAATGAGAAAAATGTCACTTTTCACTTTTTTTTTACTTAAATGTCACACGAACAATGTTATTTCTCAATATGTCACGCGGGCAAGTTTGCAACAGTACCTAGCGAACTCGGTAGTCAATGATTTCGTTACACGTGGCACATTTTTGCAGGAAAAGTTGACTGCCACGTGTCCAAGTTCGCTACGGCTGATAGCGAACAGTGAACTTGGTAGCCAATGATTTCGTGACACGTGACACACTTTTGCAGAAAAAGCTGACTGGACGAAGTTCGCTACCAGGGAGTAGCGAACTTGTTGTCCACCAGAAACGTGCCACGTCAGCAAACCAAGTTCGCGGGGCACTGTAGCGAACTTGCTCGTGTGGCATATTGAGAAATAACACTGTTCGCATGACATTTAAATAAAAAAAGTCAGTGAACAATGATATTTTAATCACTGTTCCCAAGCCAAACACCCTCTCCTGCATCTGCATCTGCTACTAAACTTCAATCCACACACCAAATAGTGAAATATAAAAATTTGAAAAAAAATAATTAAAAAAAAATAGCGTCTGTTATTTCCTCTATGCACCAATAGTGCCAAAGGTTCTTGTTGTGCATATTTCCTCCACAATTATAGGAAACAAATAATCCCAAAATTATAGGATCTCAATACCACAACTACTAGCAACCAATTCTGATAAAACTCAGAGTAAGGTGAACACTTAAGATATCAATATCAACAACTTCAAAGAACACAACAAGAGCTTATAAAAACCCACAAGCCCCCATTGCCACTTCCACCCCTCACCAATATCAATGGCTCACCAACCACATGTACCATTCCTCTTCCCACAAACTCATTCCACTGTCCTCCCTGAACCCTCCAATTTCTTCTCTCCAGACTTGCTCTCAAGTCCACTCCCTACAAACTCTTTCTTCCAAAACTACGTTCTCAAAAATGGTGACCAGCCAGAATACATTCATCCTTACCTCATCAAATCATCAAAATCATCCCTTTCTGTCTCTTACCCATCTCGCTTTTTCACTGCTGCTTTCATATACCAAGTCTTCATAGCTGACCTCACCATCTCTGCCTCGGAAAAAACTAACCCACATTCTTATGATAAGCATGTTATCTCTTCCTACAATGATCTCAGTGTCACCTTGGATATCCCTTCCTCCAATCTGAGGTTCTTTCTCGTTAGGGGAAGTCCCTTTCTGACAGCATCTGTTACTAGTCATACACCACTTTCCATCACCACCATCCATGCAATCCTTTCGTTTTCTTCAAATGACTCACTTACCAAGCATGTTTTTCATCTTAACAATGGTCAAACATGGCTTATATATGCCTCTTCACCAATCAAATTCAGTCACAGCCTCTCTGAGATTACTTCTGATGGATTTTCTGGCATAATTCGGATAGCATTGTTGCCTGATTCGAGTCCAAAATATGAGGAGATCCTTGACAGGTTCAGTTCTTGTTACCCTGTGTCTGGGGATGCTGTACTCACAGAACCATTTTTTGTTGAATATAAATGGAATAAGAAAGGGTTGGGTGATTTGTTAATGTTAGCACATCCTCTCCACCTTCAACTATTGTCTAAGAATGAGTGTAATGTTACTGTTCTGGATGATTTTAAGTATAGCAGCATTGATGGGGACCTTGTTGGTGTTGTTGGAGATTCATGGTTGTTAAAAACAGATCCTGTTTCTGTTACTTGGCATTCTACCAGCGGTGTCAAAGAGGAATCATATGATGAAATTGTTTCAGCTCTTTCTAAAGATGTGGAGGGTCTGAATTCTTCTGTAATAACAACAACTTCATCTTACTTTTATGGGAAATTGATTGCAAGGGCAGCGAGGCTAGCATTGATAGCTGAAGAGGTTAATTTTCTTGATGTGATTCCTAAAGTTAGGAAGTTCTTGAAGGAAACAATTGAACCGTGGCTGGAGGGAACTTTCAATGGGAATGGATTTCTTTATGATGAGAAATGGGGAGGTATCCTTACAAAACAAGGGTCTACTGATTCAGGTGCTGATTTTGGGTTTGGAATTTATAATGATCACCATTATCATCTTGGATATTTCCTTTATGGAATTGCAGTGCTTGCAAAGATTGACACATCATGGGGAACAAAATATAAACCTCAAGCCTATTCACTAATGTTAGATTTTATGAACCTGGGAAAAGGATCAAACTCCAAGTATACACGGCTAAGGTGTTTTGATCTTTATAAATTGCATTCTTGGGCTGGAGGGCTAACTGAATTTGCAGATGGAAGAAATCAAGAAAGCACAAGTGAAGCTGTAAATGCATATTATTCAGCAGCATTGATGGGCTTGGCATTTGGTGACACACACCTTGTTGCCACTGGATCAACTCTTGCAGCATTGGAAATTCATGCAGCTAAGATGTGGTGGCATGTGAAAGGGGGAGATAACATGTACGAGGAAGATTTTACAAAAGAGAACAGGTTAGTGGGTGTTCTATGGGCTAACAAGAGAGACAGTGGACTATGGTTTGCTCCACCTTTGTGGAAAGAGTGTAGGCTCGGCATTCAACTCTTACCCTTGTCACCTATTTCTGAATTCTTGCTCTCTAATGTTAGTTTTGTGAAGGAACTTGTGGAGTGGACACTGCCAGCTTTGAATAGGGATGGTGTTGAAGAAGGATGGAAGGGGTTTGTGTATGCTCTGGAAGGAATCTTTGATAATCAAGGTGCATTGGACAAGATAAGAAGCTCAAAAGATTTTGATGATGGGAACTCATTGACTAATCTCTTATGGTGGATTCACAGCAGAGGTGATGGAGAAGGGAATTTTGTCCCAGAAAATATTGCCAGTTTGTTAATACACTAATCTTCCCATTCTCATTTGAATTTGTGTTATCTCGTGCTGCCAAAATATAATACATAAAAGGGCGTTAGTTTTTCCATGCTACAGATGATAAGCAATAATTCCCGTAGATACATAATAACATTGGCTCCATCCATTTTTTTCAAAAACAAAAAACAAATAAAAATGGCACAAATTTCGATCTATGAACAGGAATTGTAATATATTTTCCTACAACAAAAGATGATGTTTTCCCTACATAAAATTCATGTTTTTACATTCAGTTTTCGATCTATAAACATTCAGCTTGTGATTAGTAGAGGAGAAAATTTTTTTGTCCAGGAAATCTCGATTTTCAAAAATATGATTTTTACATTCAGTTTACAATAATATCTGAAAATTTAAAATTTAGAAAAGATCAGTTTTCCGAAAATCCTGCCAAAAGCCACATACCAAACGTGTCGTGTTAACATTCAAATATGAATTTGACCAGTATTTTTTTTTTTGATTAATTATCATTTTGATATGTCTTGCGGAATCAACCCACATAAAAATCAAATTGTGTTTAGGGTTAGAAACTCATTAAATTCAGTTTGTGAATTATTCAGAATCTCAGATCTTGTTAACCAGCAAAATTAGTTAAGCATTGAATGTTTTGACAGGTATAAAAAAATATGCTGAGATCATATTGAATATATTCGTATTTATATTAAATTTGTACCGAGTCATGTAAACATGAATGGCCACCCCTAAAGCATAATTAATGATTTCAATATTTAAAATAAAATGAGAATAAGCTATAATAATTTCTTGAACATGCAGCTATAATAATTTCTTACAATATTGTTTCTGTACTTCTGTATTTTAACTGACGGGCTTTCCTTACAATTCCTTTTATTAGTAAACTCTGGGGAATTTCGTAAAAATAATTAAAGGAAAATAAAAGTATAATGTTATAGGAAAATTGTTAGGTTATATTATAGAAATAGAGATTGTGAGACCCACAGACTCGCACTTTTTTTTTTTTTTTGAAAATAAGTGTGGGTCTCATAATCTCTACCTCTATAATATAATCTAATAAATTTTTTGCAATATTATACTTTTTTTCCCCATAAATAAATATCGTGACTTTTGGATTCATTGCCTTCTCTTATGGGGCATTTGGTTGAGGAGAAAATTTTTGAATACTAAGAAAATATAATTACTAGAGATATGGTGGGAAAGTAAATTTGGTAGAAAAATCAAAAAAAGGTTTTTTGGTTGGCCAAAATTTTACTGGGAAAATTGGGTAAAATTTTGTAAGTCTATGTTTGGTTGAAGATAAAATATTGATGAAAAAATGAGTTGCAATTACCAAAACAACCCTTTTAAAATTTTTGAATTTGAATTACCCTTTACAAAAAACGTCCGTGAGTCTCTGTCTATGACCTTTGTCCATCTGTCTTGTTTGAGTCTGTGTGATTTGTATTATCGTACTATTGTCGTGAGGCATTAGTTGCAATTATGATTTAGATTATGAGGGTATATTTTTTAACAAATTGTTATTTTCTGTTTCATTTAGCCGAACAATTCCAAATACCACATGCCAAGTGATATTATGTGCCAGTGTATTTTGTGCAATTTTACACGCCAATATCGATTGCTAGGTGAAAGAAATTGGTGGGAAAATATTATAATCTCTTCTACCGGTATAATTAGATTCCCAATTTCAAACACCTATCTATCTCCTAAGATACCTCGTACCAAACACTACCTAAACACCACCTAAACACCATGTTTGGTAGAAGTTTAGGGAAAAAAATAATAGGCAACCGTTTTTCCATGCAATTTCAGATTTGTGTGTAAAATAATGCAAAAATCACTACTTAAAAATACCACCTTGGAGGTGGTATTTGCAGATGACAAGGCAAGTGAAAAAATGAGCACGATGGGTCAGACGGAAATGCCCATGGCGGGTCTGCAAATGAACATGGCGAGTCACAACTCAAGGTCAGTGGTGGGAAAAGAGACAAGTTGCAGCTCCTCCTCCTCGAGCCACCACCTCCACCACCCGCAGCACCACAGCCAGTGTCGTTATCCGCCTCATCGCCACTATTATCGGAGTCATGGAGGTTGTGCCAGGCCAAAGACTTCAATATGTTAACATGTTTAGCATATTTTGTTTGGTTCCCAATCCAAGCATCATTGAACAAAACACACATCTTCGTTTGGTTCCCAGTGAAATTATGGTCCATGAAAGTGTTTTGGTTACATTTGTTACTCAAATTATGGTCCATGAAAGTGATTATGGTCCATGAAAGTGTTCAGGGCAGGGAGATTTTCAACCATGGAAACAAGAAAGTGAACGTTGTTGATTTTTTTTTTCAGTTTCAAAATTTAAAATGTCGACTTTCGTAATTTACACCAATTATCCCATCAATATTTTACTTTCTACCAAACATTGATTTTGAAAACTTAAATCAAATTTTCAGGTAAAATTTCACTCTACCAAACAAATTTTTTTAATTTTTCCTATCAAACTTATTTTCATACAATATTTTCATTAATTATGTTTGTCTGGTAAAAAAAATTTTCTTCTCTACCAAATGCTTCATCATTTATTGCAAATGTGTTACATTTTGTTTCTCAGAAAAAAAATTGGGACAATCAAGCCAAGAAAGAAAGTAATTGCTTAAATACAACCCTAGGTGAAGAAATGGAGTTTCTGGTTTTAATTTGAAAAAAGATGATGACAACTTGGCATATTAGGACATGTTTGGTGCATAGTATTGAATAAGATCTGATTAAATTTTAATATTATCCAACGTTTGGTATGGTATTGTATAAGATAATATCTTTAAATATTTTAAAAATTAATATATTAAAAAAAATATTTTAATATATTAATATTGAAATGATATATTTGTTCTTGAAAATAGTATTTGTAAGCAATATTAATACATCAACCCTTTATCAGGCCTAATCTCATCTTCTTAAGCCTGATTAAGTTATACATCATTTTGATGTATTAAGAGATTCGGCTGTATAAGCTTATATTATACGATGGTCACACCAAAGAGCTGAAAATGTCATAACATATACTATAAGCTTATACTTTATACATACGCGCCCGTAAAATCTCAACTACATGCGATTCAATTTGAATTTCTGAGACAATAATATCAAACGAGAGCATAAAAGTTAGGGAGCTATTTATATTGTATCAAGGATTTTTGTCCATTATAAAAAAACTACATGATCTTTTATTCACCTATTTTGTCTTTTAGATTCCTAAGGAACTACAGGACACAATGGTCAGCTAGATGCTATTCGTCATGAAATTCAAAGTATATCAATCATAAATCCTGGTCCCATGACCCGGATGCTTGTGGATAATCTTGGCCAAACATCTATCAAATGGTATTATTTACTGGAAGTTTTTTGGGACACAGTTTAGTATTCTAAACTTTTACTGATAAAGTTGCTGGGATTTATCGTGTTCTGTTCTGTTGTTGATAATCGTAAATAATCAATTCAATCCAAAAGCTTAAGCTGTTAGGTGAGGTTACATTAATGGTTTTATATATCTCAACACGCGCCTTCACACGATAGTCCATTGGACTTCAAGAGTGGACAATGCACATGCTCACCTACCTGTGCGAAGAAAGAAATTCCACTAGAAAGAAAGAGGGGGCGGTGAGGATCGAACCCGGTACACCGAGACTTTGATACCATATAAAGAACCAATTCAACCCAAAAGCTTAAGCTGTTGGTTGGGTGAGGTTACATTAATAATTTTATATAGGGAAAAACTCACTAATGCTCCTGTGGTTTGCTTCAGAATCATTTATGCCCCTGTGATTTTTTTCTATCACATATGCCCCTGTGCTTTGTAAAAAATAAGAAACCACAGGGGTATATGTGATAAAAAACATACCCTTTTACAAATCACAGGGACATATGTGATAAAAAAAACCACAAGAATATAAGTGATTCTGAAGTAAACCACAGAGACATTAGTGAACTTCTCCCTTTTATATATCTCAACAATAATATTAGCAGTAGTAAACCAGAAGATGTTGGAGATAATAACTCGATCACACCCACAACTTTGACATTATTATATACTGCTTTAGGGACTGTGTGCTTACATGTCAATAATTATTTCCAGGATTCAACTTCAATGGCCTCCAATTCATGCAATATGCAAGTCAAGCAACTACTTATGCCAGATTGGCCGAGTCCCCTACCATGAAGAATGGTTTAATGGCAAGTAGTACCGATGTCGAGAAGATTAATGAACAAAAGCATACTGTCTTACCAATTTCTGCTGAAAACACTGGATTTTTACCAAATCGTGGGGGTAATATTAATTTATGTTATTTAGTTGGCTTTCCTTACCATGATTATCTAATACCTGTGTTGCAAACTTATGCTATGGGGCTTTTTACTTGGCTTCTTTATATTTACATAATATATTGTGGTCATATTGCTTCCTATTATATATATGGGAAAAAGATTTCTCATGTTCGCATGAGAAGTCTTTTCTCTTATCATTTTTATTTTGATGTCCATATCAATTATTATTTTTTTTCTTTAAAATGGGCTTTATCCCTTTCACTCTAAGAAAATTTAAATTTCTGGTACAACATGAAAAATTACAAACCTATATATATTGTGCACAAGCATATGTACTGTCACTAAAAGATGTAGCTTTTTGTAACTTCCATTACACACGCACAGACATAGAGATGCTTTCAGATGTGATGGTCTGCAGTGCATTTTTGTGGTTCAAAAAAATATGTATATGAATTTTGTGTGATCCGTCTCAATAAAATTTTCTTAATTTTTTCTTTTGATTCGTTTTTTCAATGGTTACTGCAGATAAGTTATCTGCAGTAAGTCCAATACTATGTTGTTTTAGAGCAGAAATCATAGTATTTTTGTAATTTTAATTTATTTCAGGTTATAATAGTCTTTATATTTATAACTTTTTAAGATTTCAATACCAAAACGACATCGTTTTAAAAAAAATGCAGATAACTTATCTGCAGTAACTGCATAAACATTTTTTCCTTTTTTTCTTATACTCCTTCGTTTTCTTCTATGGAGAACATTTTTGTCTGGAGTTTCTTCTTCATCTTCGATTTATGTTGCTACTTTCCCTAATTTATTTTAGGTATTTAATCCAGCTTTTAATTTTACTTTATTTTATCGTCTACGTTACTCTAATCAAGCCATATCTCTGCTTTTCACATGTTGCCTCTCATTTCTATTGCTCTAACCCGTGAGTCATAGTTTCACCTACCGGTTCATAGTCCAAACGCGATTTAACCTATATAAATATGGGGTTTGATTTTTTTATGTTAAATAAAAATTCAATTCTTATGTTGTAGAGATAAAAAGCATGTGAGACTCATTTGTTAGAAAAAATTATATGTAGGACTCATGTCAGCACGGAAATCGAAAGGTGTGTAGGAAAATTTGAATTCTCATGTTAAATGAGAATTATAAAACCCTATAAATATTGACAAAATGAGTGTGCTGATATATTAAATATTTTATTTATTATAATAAATTTTTTAATATATTATTCAAAAAAATTTTAACAATTTATTATTAATTAACTAATTAATATTATTTTAATAAAAATATAGTTGTCTTGAAATAGTATAAATAAAGAATAGAAAATATTTAAAATGATAAATTACAATGCATGAACTATGGTTTTCAATTACCCACCATTTTTTTGGTAAATAATTATGCACCATTTTCATAACTATATGTCTATATTAGATTGTTTTATGAATTGCCGTTTTTGTGTTTTATTATCTCCAATTCGAAATACTTGGCTGATTTTTATATCTTGAAAGATGTTTCTATAGTTTAATTATTCTCCATATAAGTTATTAGTTTTTTTTTTAAATTAGCTTATTATTTTAACATTTTTTTTATATATTTATGGGTTTATTATTTTTACTAAAATAAATTTGTCTCTTATCACCTTAAAATAATAACATTTTAGGGTTGTTAAAAAAAATATCATGATAAAAATTAATTTTAAAATAAATTATAATTATAAAATTCATTTTTCTCTAACCTCAAAATGATCTCGTTTCAACGTGATATTTTTTTCTAGGCCATGAAAAATAATAAACTTATATTTCATATTTTTTTTTCTAACATTCGCCATATATATTGCCGAAATTTCTATTATGCAACGAATGTATTAATTTGGGTACATATTTTTTCAAAAGAAGAAAGTTTTTTTTTTTACTTCATTTTTTTTAAGTTATTTCCATCTAAATCCCTTTTTTCTGCTCCTTTTGGATGAGATATATGGTGGAGTTTTGACTCGTCATCATGGGCTGTTTTCTCCATTCATATTATTGATGAATGATGCATAAATTTAATTTTTTGTGTGTAAAAATTTAATTTTCATTTAAAAAATAAGAGTGACACTAATAAGGATATAATTTTTGTCTCTGCACAATAATGGTTTTGATAATGCGTCGTGAAATAATTATTCGAAAAAAATTATTAAATAAATACATATAAATATTTTTTTAGCTAATAGATTTAAAATTTTTAGGGAAAATTTAAAAAAAAAATCCTCTTTGGTTTGTCCCATAATCATTTATCCTTATATATTCATTTTTATTGCTTACTTTTCATGTGATTTTTTTCATCCAAGTCTTAATTAACATTGTTAAATATTGGGTTAATCTATCAATTTTATCTCCATGAACAATAAAAAACACAAGAGGTAAGTAATTAAAAAAACTCAAGGAGGTAAGTAATATAAATCACAATGGGATTTTTGAACTTTTTCTTTACATCAATTAAATTTTTTTTGATAGAGGATCAATGTGAAATTTTACAAATTAATGGTGTAGACTGTCGTAAATAAATGTTCTGTTCAATATCATTCACATGTGTCTTTTATGTTTGTCATTTATATGTATATTTTATGTTTGTTGATTGTTGTATTTGAATACAACATTATAGATGTTCATAGTTGTTCAAGAAAATATTATTATTGTATTAATAATTTAGCTTTTTTATTTCAATTTTATATGTTTATTTATAATAAATTAAAAATTAAAAATTAATATTTAAAAATAGAGCACCCATTAACAAATCTATTAGCATTTTGCTAACTTTACACTGTCTAATCCTAATTTAAGTACATCACAAAAGTGTTAAAAAAATATAACGAAATTTATCTCAATTCTCTCTTCTTCTTTTTTTACAACAAGGCATTAAAACTTTTTTCTTTGGCAAAAAGTTGTGGTGGATGTTGAATAAAACATCTTTATTTGCAATTGCCATGAACCCCATTAAGAGTTCCACATTGTTCCTCACATCAAGTTTTTTTTCTTTTTCATTTTTTAATTATTGTAAAGGAAAAGTTCAAAAATCCTCTTATGATTTAATATTTGATCACTTATTCTCTTAAGCTTCTTTATTTTAATCATTTATTTACCTTTTTGTGTTTTTTTAAATTGTTAAAAGGGACAAAATGAATAAATTTGTTCAATATTTAACGACCTTAAATGTGAAAAATCACAAGAAAGATAAGTGATAGAAAAAATTAGGGGAATAAATTATTATCGAACAAATCACTTGGAGATTTATGAAGTTTTCCCAATTTTTTATAATAAAATATTTAATATTCAATTCAACTTTCTTTGAATGAACATCTTTAAAGGGAGATTATTTCATAAAAGAATGCATGTAATCATATTCATCACTCATTAACCGAGAAGTCACGATCCCTGTTTATATGAGAAACTAATTTGGACATTACCGAAAAGAGTGCAAGTAAGCCATATTTTTTATTGGGACAGCAAGCAAGCCATCTATTTTTATATATCTTTTTTTTTTCAAATAATTATTTAGCTCAACAAACCATAAACTTTAACTTTGAACAATGATGCAAAGGTCAGTGACAATGCTCATAAACAATAAGATTTAACAACTTCACGCTACTGCATTTTGTCATTGTGAGAACTCTTTCCCTTATTGCATTGTATGTAATCGCTTTTGGCATATGATGACTGTGACAAGAAGAATGAGATCCAAGAAACAAGTATAATAAATAAATAGAAGTTAGAATCAACCTCTCAGCCACTGACTATTCCAACTATTATTCTCAATAATGTTGACCATAACTCATAATTATCACAACCACACGGTTCAACATTCCATGCCACTACTACTCATATTTTTAATGAAGGCATTGTAGCCATGTTCTTCAGGTTCCCCAACCCCAACCATCATAAAATCATTTTTGCAATTAAATTTTTATTTATTTATAAAATTTAAAAACATTATACTTATAATAAGAGAAACTTATACTAAAAAAAATGATCTTATTTATTATTAATTTGTTTATGATAATTGGGGCAGTTATATTTACTATTGAAATTTTTTACTGTTTTATTATTAAACTAATCATCGTTGATTTTTATTAGTCTGACAGTTTTAATTTTTAAAAAATAATAATTAATTAATGAGTTTTATAAAAATTATATCGTAAAAAAAGTGATTGTGTAATATTATAGAGATTCATTTTGCGTACCTTAATTTTTTTTTTGTTTCAAAAAATGCGGGCTCCACAAAATATTGTGTAAATAAAAAAAGTAATTATATCATATTGCATGATAAATATAAATCTCTTAATTAATATGTATAATTCAAAAAGTTAAAACCATCATATTGATAGAAATTAATAGTAATTAATTTAGTAGTAGAGTTATACATTTTTTTAATAATAAGTATAACATGTAGCTATGATAATATGTACAACTTTTTTTAGGATACTTTTAAGTTTTTTTAGCCACCACAAGACAAGGCAATTGCTGGTGATGACAAGAAATGCTATTCCTGATGAGTGACAGAGAGAAAGAATCAAAGGGATAAATGGAATAGAATCTTACAAAATAGGGGATTATGATCGTTGAACTGGGAAATTCCACTTCGAGAAAAGAAATCTCAACGGGTTAAAGGAACTTTACAGTATGACAAGAAATTAATAACTCAATAAAAAATTAGGATTTGGATCCTGTAACGTTTAAAAGTATAATTACTTATTGATGATAAAATAAAATATATATATATATATAATATTTAAATAAATGATTATAATTAAATAATATAACTACTTTTAAACATAAGAAGATTCAAATAAAAAAATTAAGTGATAAACAAATATAATAACTACTCTTTTGTTATTCCAGTTAAAAAAGACAGTAAAAACAAAATAAAATCAAATGATTAAATGATTGTCTGTTTCAATTTTCAATTTGGACACAACCTTTTCACATTGCCAGTGCATGTGTGTGAAGGACACACACAGCGAGAGAGAGAGAGAGAGAGAGAGAGAGGCAGTATAATCTGAAAGTCGTCTCCACGTTCTCATTTGCACATCTTGTGGGGTGTGCTGTGTATGCCACTATTGTCATATTCCGCAAAATAAGCTTTTTTTTCCTTTGGAGTTTTGAAGCTTCTTATAGTTTCCTACTTAGATAGACCCTCCTTTCAGATATTGTTAAAGATTTCATTTTTAGTTTATGGGTTCTAGCTTGTGCCAGTTTTGGAGATCTGGGTATGCTGCATTTTGGCCTTGACTTCAGCTTCTACAGTGTACTAGGCCAGTAACAAATCTGGTTCATGAAATGCTGGATGCTCCTTGATTTCTCTTGTTGCTGCAAAAAAAGGTTTTGTTTCTGTGAGCTGGGTTTCTTTTTCCCATTGTGAATTTGCTTTTGCTTTTAGTATTGTTAGGTTCTGTAGCCTACAAAGGTATTAGCTTTGTTGAAAGTAGTTTGTGGGTATTGACTTTTTGCTGTTTGCCAAGACTTTTTTGGGAATTGGGTATTGGTGGTGTGTGTTGTTTTCTCTGAAGAAATTTGAGCATTGCTTGTTGAAGAGTTGATCTGAAATCTGAGGTTCATATTTGATCTGGAATGTTGTGATGACTATTTTCCTGGTGAAAGATTGGAAATTTGAGTTTTTAACTGATTTTGGAAAGTAGTGATGGAAGTGTTTTACTAGTACATTTTGTTCTTGAGGGAAGATTTGTACAGTGATGGCTTCAACAACCCCTTCTCCAAATGCTTCCCCTTCTGCAGTGCCTCCAGCATCTGCTGGTGTTTTATCACCACCTCCTTCTTCATCTTCCCCACCACCATCACCTCCCAATTCTTCTCAACCCAATCAAACATCCAATTCCTCTGCTCCTCCTCCTTCTGACCCTTCAGCTCCTCCTCCTTCTCCTCCACAGGCAGTGCCTCTAACCCCTCCTCCTTCCCCATCCCTCTCTCCTCCGCCATCACCTACACTGCCGCCAACTAAGTCCCCTCCTTCACCACCAGATTCTCCACCACCGTCAACACCTGCATCTCCAACACCACCAGTTGCAACATCACCCCCACCACTAGCTACCACTGCCCCTCCTCCTGCTGTGACTCCACCTTCCCCTCCAAATTTGTCCCCACCACCTAAAGCAGCTGGTTCCCCTCCTCCTCAATCCTCAGAGGCACCTCCAACAGCAATTCCACCTCCCTCTCAACCGGTTTCGCCATCTCCTCCTCCTCCAGCCAATGTGCCACAGCCACCATCCACCCCTTCTCCTCCTCCACCACATGCAAAGCCTCCGAAAAGTGCTCCTTCACCTCCTTCACTTGCATCCCCTCCATCTGTTTCTGAATCTCCTCCTTCTCCTACTTCTACTGATGTTCCCCCTCCATCCACATTGCCTTCAACTCCTCCTCCAGTCCCTTCAGCTTCTTCACCTCCAGTTTCTTTGCCTGGCCCCCCAGCTAATAAAACAGCTTCCGGGGGTCCAACTGTGTCCCTACCCTCTATTCCAACTGAGAAACCCACTGCTAGACCAACTAATGGTGGCACTGATAATATAATCACAAACACTACACCTTCACATTCAGGAGGGTTAAAAACTGGAGGAGCTGCAGCGATTGGCATCATAATTGGTTTTATTGTTCTCAGCCTTCTTGTTATGGCCGTGTGGTTTGTACAGAAAAAGAAGAAGAAGAAGGAAACAGGACCGAAAGGTGGTTATGCTGTACCTTCTCCATTTGCCTCATCTCAAAATTCAGGTATTGCATTGTGCACCACCAACTATTAGGAATATATGCTCTTGTCGGATATTGCATGTTGTTTGTTGTCAACCTTGATTATTTTAATCTGAGATAAATAGAAAAAGATCTTCCTTGCACTGCATAAACTTGAATTGGATAATCTTGGATAAACTGGATTCTGTTTGTTGGGTGAATCAGAGAAGTTCCCAGATTCTGGTTCTTAAATATTCATTGTAGAAAAACAAAAACAAAAAATAAGGATGCTTCTTTACACTAAACCAGAAGTCCAATATTATTGAATCAATCTCTGTTGCCATTGAATACCAATTTCATTTCCTGAAAACAGGGTTCATTTATTTGATTTCACATATCTCTAAATCAATAATTTTCAAGCATTACATTATACCTTGCTATCTTCGGGAAAATATGATTAATCTTTGGAAGGAGTAATTTTAGATTATGGTATTTATTATTGCCTATAAAAGGTGCAGATGCATCTCTGATCTACATGGTCTATAATTATGTTCTAATATGACCTAAACTGGTTTTTACTCTGTGTTTTGTTTTTCAATTCCATTTTTGGTTCATAGCCTGCTTAAGGTATAATGCTAATCACCATGTCACCATTCTCTTGATTTTTCTTTATACCTTAATATGCCTATGTTGAACCCTAAGCTCTGTTGCAAGACACTAGAATTGTGGTAGTGGTGGTGACAGCTTTGGGTAGTTTGCAGGTTGTTATAGGTTCAAAGTTCAAACCTCCATGCTGTCCTTGTACCCCCCAAAAAATCTATGTTTCCCTCTTGGCAGTGTCTTTGGTTTTGACATTATCTGTGATAAATTTTAGTTGATAAAGATAATTAAGCTTGATAATTCTTGTTAGACATTGTTTTGTTCTGAAATTTTTTGGAATGCTAGTTGCGTTATAGTTAAATGTCAGGAACTATACAACTGGCATGTGTTTGTACTAACCTTATAAATTCAGCAATAATTAAATGTGCAAATGGCTGCTAAAATAATTTTTTTAAACATTGATATTCTCTTCTAGGTACTTTGTTCTTGAGGCCACAGTCTCCAGCCAACTTTTTAGGTAGTGGCTCAGGTAGTGATTTTGTGTATTCACCATCCGAGCCAGGTGGGGTAAGTAGTTCAAGATCATGGTTCACATATGAAGAACTTATCCAAGCTACAAATGGGTTTTCGGCACAAAATCTGTTGGGAGAAGGTGGATTTGGTTGTGTCTACAAAGGTTTTCTCATAGACGGAAGAGAAGTGGCTGTGAAACAGCTCAAAATTGGTGGTGGGCAAGGGGAACGTGAATTCAGGGCAGAGGTTGAGATTATTAGCCGTGTACATCATCGTCATCTGGTTTCCTTGGTGGGCTACTGTATATCTGAGCATCAAAGATTGCTTGTCTACGACTATGTTCCCAACAATACTCTTCATTACCATCTCCATGGTAAGATCTATATCTCTGATTAAATAATTTGAATAAACAAGAACAATTAGTTCATCACAAATTTACAGCACCAAAAGCAATGAATTGAAGCAATACAGGGACACACCAAATTCTAAAAATTGTTGGACATGGACACTTTATGTATGTATGTGTGTATATATATAATTATAAATTTAAGGAAAGAGATTCATCATCATGCTGTTATAAATTACTATTGATGTTGCACTTGGATTTTACAATCCAAGGGGGTTGTTCTGTAAGTTCCAGCAATTATGCAGTTATAAATCCATGATTTCGGTTTAAGGATGGTATATTTCTTCACCTAAATTTTGATCTAAAACTTGATCTGTAAATTCAAATTTTTACAGTTGAAAACAGACCAGTTCTGGATTGGCCTACCAGAGTCAAGGTTGCTGCTGGTGCAGCTCGTGGAATAGCTTACCTACATGAAGACTGTAAGTTTCTTCTTCTTTCTATCATTCTATGTATTCTCAAATGTATAGCTATCCACAGAAAGACGGCATTATCTTGGTAGATGGTACTACATGTTTCTTTCATGCTTCGAGACATTCTTTTAAAATATATATTTTCTTTTAAGTATACAGAATTCTTTAGAACTTTTACAACCACATTTAAGATGCTAAACATCAAACAGTTTGCATTCTTGTTAATTGCACATTTTAAATTTCTCATGTTTTTACACCTGATCTTTTTGGTTTTCATAGCATGTTATATTCTTTATCTTCTTATTTTTTTTTAATTAATTTATCAGGCCATCCACGTATTATTCATCGAGACATTAAGTCATCAAACATCCTTCTTGATCACAACTTTGAAGCTCAAGTAAGTGGTTTTTATGATCTGTACATTCGGGTGCAGATTATATTTTTAAATTTTTTTTAAGCAAGTCTATTTATGAAACTGATTTGCACTTAAATGACAGTTTGTGTTGCATTGGCATCTCCTAATTTATGTATTGGTTTTTCTAATGCGACTTTTGTTAAAAAAAATAAAAATTTGCTGTGATTTGGCCAACAGGTTTCAGACTTTGGGCTTGCAAAATTGGCATTGGATTCAAATACGCACATAACTACACGTGTAATGGGAACCTTTGGGTAGGTTATGCCTGTGTTTAATGTGTAGCTTGTGTCACATAATTTATTGTTTATTGATAGAATCCTATTATTAGCCCTTGAATTTTGTTATTTATTTCAGCTATCATTATAAGAATAAATATATTACATATGTCCTATATAAATAACTTACAAAGCATTTTTCTCTTTCTGTATGACTAATAATTATTAGTTTTAATACTTAAGTTGGGCAAGGGAGGGTTGTATTATTATCATCATCATCTCATGGCTTGTTCAAGTTCTAATTGAAACTTTTTAATCCGCGTTCATTTTATTCCTCTCAGGTTGTATATTATAGCACATAATTTATAGATGTGTGATCTATTATGCCCTGTTGTTAGGCCTTTTTCAACATACGAAGCTGAGTCATTCGGATATTGATAATACTCATTGCATTTACTGTTCCTGTTATGAGTATATCTAATAGAAAGAATGGTCTGAATTGGCAGGTACATGGCACCAGAGTATGCAACAAGTGGGAAATTGACTGAAAAATCTGATGTATATTCCTTTGGGGTTGTTCTTTTGGAGCTAATTACAGGTCGAAAGCCTGTAGATGCCTCTCAGCCAATTGGTGACGAGAGCCTGGTTGAATGGGTGAGTCACATATTTGCATTAACATGCTTTGCTTATTGTTGTTATTATTAATATTAATATTTAATAGGATATACATGTAGACAAATAGGTTTCAATGTTTTTTAGTTTACTGTGAAGAGTGTCCTATCTTAATTAATTGACATGGTTTCATAGGTTCAAATATTGTAAAGCAATAATAGCAGGAACAAAATGAAAACAAGGTGGCATTTTTTGTAATTATAAAAGAAAACGTTTTAACTAAAAATGGAAAGAGAAAACAAACCAACTCCATCTTAAATTTTTTGCTTGTTTTCTTTGAGCTGTGATATGGGGGGTTGGAGATTGAAAAACCACAGTCAATCTTAATAGATGACCTAGGTGCTGGAATGTACAAGTGAATTTACTGAATTGAAGAAGCTGACATTTAAAGAAGAAAAAGAAGAGAAAGAAATGGAAATTGTATCTTCTATTGCTTTTCATTTATAACTATCCACCTCAAATAGTTTGCGTTAAAGGTATTGTTAATGTTGATATTGAAAGAAAAGGAAATTGTAGTATTATGGGTTTATGACAATAATGCATGTCTACTGCATGCTGAGTGAGGGAAGTTAATCATTAGATGGAAGAATGCAAGGGAACCCCTGCCCTTTGCAAAATTATGGACATGCGATTCGAAAATGCAGGATGAAGGAAAGTCTTATAGACCAAATTGATCCAGTTATGGCTTAGTTGTTCAGTTGTGCTTGTACCACAATTCACGTTACAATCGTTTCTTATGAAAAATATGTTAAGTTTAAGCCAAAATGGTCCTTATTTATGTAAAATATCCATGTGGTAATAATTTCTCTAGTCCTACAACTCTGATGACTTGCAGCTAAACATGCTGTTGATGGAACTACTCTTGGACTATCTAGTATTACTGGTGCTAAATTCATTTAACACTTATTAAACCTTATTGTTACGTTATCTCTAAATATTTCCCTGTATATTCTAGTAATAATGGGTATTAAAATTTCAACTTGGAATGATAATTTTCCTAATTTGTATGAGGGTGAATCTTTAGCGGTGGTAAGGCTGTTCCTTTATGATCGGATTCGAATATGGGAAATAGCCTCTTTGCAATTATGCAAGCGTTAGGTTACATATAAGAATTGCCCTCACCCCACCCTGCTAGTCGGGGTTTAATGGGGACCGGATAGTTTTCCTAATTTGTGATAAAATTCTGTTGGGGAGGGATCTTTTGACTCTAGAGTAAGACTTACAATTCTTACTCTCTATCTCAACCGTTGATTTCCGTTCATCTAATGGTTATTATTTATTTGAAATTAATAATTGATATAGATAACCGTTAGATGGACGGAAATCAACGGTTGAAATAAGGAATAAGAGTTGTAAGTCTTACTCTAGAGTCAAAAGATCTCTCCCCAATTCTGTTAATTATTTTCTCCAAAAAAAATTGTTAGTGCTGAAGGATATATTTGTGATCAGGTGTAAGATGAACTTGTACTTGCCTTTTTCTGTCTGCATATTAGTACTCAATCACATGCATTTTCTGTAGATTTTACTATAAAAGAGGCAAGGGAAGGGAATGGAGTCCCAATCAGATTAAATTGCTCATTTTAATAAATATCAAACTAATTTCCAGGCTCGGCCTCTGTTGAGCGAAGCACTTGATAATGAGGACTTTGATATTTTGGTGGATCCAAGGCTAGGAAAGAACTATAATAGAAATGAAATGTTTCGGATGATTGAAGCTGCTGCAGCCTGCGTGCGTCACTCTTCAATAAAGAGGCCACGGATGAGTCAGGTATTTTTATTTTTCATGTTATCAGTCTCTCGCAAATGTAAGGTAAGGCTGTTACTATTAAGACACTCCTTTGAATCCTACACATAGCAGAGGCTTTATGTAAAAAATCAATTTAACCCAAAAGCTTAAACTGTTGGATGAGGCTACATTAATGGTTTTATAATTTATTTAATACGTCCCCTTACACGAAAGCCCTATTGAGATTGAAGGGTGGATGATGCATCAGGCCCAGCCTACCTGTGCTAAGAAATTTCACAATATGTAATTATTTATTAACTGAATGGGAGCAGTAAGGATCGAACTCGTGACTGTTTGGTCACGGAGGCTTTGATACTATATAAAGAACCAATTCAACTCAAAAACTTAAGCTGTTGGATGAGATTATATTAATGGTTTTATATTTATCTAACACTTTATAGGACCAGGTTCACCTTTTAGAGCATCCCATGTCGTGCCATATAATTGATTTAGATTTTGAAGATACTAACTGCATGCTTTGATTTGTTCATCAATTTTTCAGGTAGTGAGAGCCTTAGATTCATTAGATGAATTTTCAGATCTGAATAATGGAATGAAACCAGGGCAGAGTTCAGTGTTTGATTCAGCACAGCAATCTGCACAAATCAGAATGTTTAGGAGGATGGCTTTTGGGAGCCAAGATAGTTCCACTTACTTTAATGAGTCTCACAGTAGCTGGAGAAGCAGAGATCATGACTCAACAACTTTCCTCACCCAAAATAAATCTGGGCCCTGGAACATTTCACATGACTAGGTTCTATGGTGTACTCTGTAAATCTCATTTTTACTATTCTTATTTTATTTTTTATTTTTTTTCCCTTCCCATTTTCTCGACATGATTTTGCTTGCTATGGTGCTTTATATTCTTTGTAATTTAGGTTATTTGATACGTAACTCGTTGTATTTATCGATCTTCATGATATAATACCATGCATGAGTTGTGACCGATCTTCAACACTACTAGTAGCCAGTAGGTACTTGATAGTGTAACTTGGACGTCACGCCATGAGCAAACTTGAAATTCACGTTAATCTTTATGTAAAGATTGGTGTCTCACTGTCACTATCGAAATCGCCACAGGATGCTAGCTGAAATTTAAAATTTTTAAGAAATAGAGTCGTCATTAATTTTATTTAAATTAGAAAAAAATGAAAAACCTTTTTGAAAATTGGTCTTTGGAGAATGGGATTAGGTTCGGGATGGAATTTTTTTATTTTTTTTTTGAAAATTGTTTCATGGATATTTCCGAGCCGAAAACTGAAGATTAATTCATTCGAGGCAGAGAGATCACGTAATTATGGGTACAATCTTTATTAACAAAGCTTTTTTATACACATGGCCAAAAATTGGAAAGGATGAAAATTTAATTCTACTGCATCCTGTTATATCCATTTAAAAACTGGTCACACTAATTAATTATACAAATTATTGTTAAACTTTAATAATTATCTGTTTACCCAAAATGTAGAATCAAATGAGTGGGATAATTATATTTAAAAGAGAAATTAAATTGTACAACTTTTATTTTAGCTTGACGAGAGAATCTCTACTATGATGCCTTTTGTGTAATAGGGAATTCAAAACTACGTAGTTGTTAAAAAATGTATTCGAGTTAATTAATTTTAATTTTAAAATATGTATTGAAGATAAAATTTTATTTAGGAAATTTTGATTGATTAATATTTCTATGATTTTATTCAGAAAAATTACTTGGTCAAGTTTAAAAGTTTTGAATTATCATTGAAGATAAAATAGGTACGACATAGGCATACATTTATTTTTATATATATATATATGTTCTCCAACGTGACTATATTAGATCAACCAATTAACATTGACAACATATTTCATGTCATTTTTTATTTTTTAGAATATAAATAACATTATATGATAACTAATTTTTTTATTTAAAAACGTAAACAGGCCAGACTATAGGCCAAAAGGTCAGGCTTTTTATATTTAGCCCATGGTCTTGTTTTTAATCAGGCTTACTTACAAGCTTTTATCTGTTCTAATTACCTCAAAGGCTGATCAGGCCAGGCTTTTCATAGGTCAAGTCGTAGGTCCCTGTAAGCCGGCCTAGTCCATTTACACCTCTAGTAGTTATATTTGAAGATTGAATTATTGAGTACATAACTATATTTGATTTGTATAATAATCAATGTCTCTGAATTGCATAATTTTATTAATTTGTGGTTGATACTTATAAAGTTTTGTGTAAGTGATGTAGCTTTTTCAACTTTAAAAATAGTCCAAAATAGCAAGACAGTTCTTTTTTATTTCAGATATTTTTGAAGTAACATGTTTGCATTTTTGTTTTTTGTTCCTTCTTGTTTATACCTCCACCATTGTACCATTCAGAGCTTTATAGTAAGATGAAGGTGTTGATTTATCTGTACAATGATTAACCAATGACGACCGACAATAATTTCATTTTTTTTCTCTTGCGTATCACACGGGTAATTTACCGATTTATATTCTAAAACAAAAGCACCCAGTGATAGGGGTGTTCATCAACCGATCCAAACCGCGGTGATCGAACCAAAAAATCGATAACCGAATAAATCGAAAATCAAAAAATCAAAAATCGAAAAAAAATCCGCAAATTTTAATTGGATTGGATCGGTTTTCAAATTGGTAGATAAAAACCGATCCAATATATTAATTTTTCTCTACCTACTTGGGTATTTCCCCAATTATAGCCCAAAAATTTCTAAATCCAAGACCCATTAACCCATCAACTAAATCCAAGAAAAAATCTAGTCACATCTCATCAACAAAATTTTATCTAAGTAGAGTTTCATATCTTATTGTCCAAAAAAAATTAGGATTTTCAAATAATTATAAAAAAATTATTGATCATATAACCCTATCTTAATATCTTATTGCACAATAATTATAAAAAAAATTAGGATTTTCAAAAAATAAAAAACTGATCCAATTCAAACCGAAAAAATTAGATTTGATCGGATCGGATTTGAAAAAAAAAATCAAACCGAATGGATGATTATATGATCAAACTGAAAGAATTGAATCGGATGATTTTTACTTGTAAAACCGATCCAATTCAGATCGCAAACACCCGTAACCAGTGACTTGACGATTGCGCGTATAAATCAATTTGATTGAGATTGCGTGTCTATGTAGATAATAGCAATAGGATTATTAATCAATTTGGTTTTTGTTGTTAGGAATTAGGATGCAAATGGATCCTAAGACAGTTAGATGGAAAAAAAGAAAAAAAATAAGTTTCCTTGAATATATTTTATTTTAAGAATAAAAAATCAATAGTTACCTTGAAAAGTAATTAAAATATTTAATGAAATTAAAATTAAATAAATAAATTATATCATTGTATTTGCTTTGTAATGTAGTTAAGAATAATGGATTGAATAAAAAAATTAAATTCTTTTGAAAATATGAATAAAAGTTAATCCTCATAAAATATTTAATTCGATGAAAAACAATATATTTGTAATGAAAAATAAATTAAGTATTTTAAAAAAATTGGACAAAATATGGTGTTGACACTCAAATGTCCAATTTTTTGAGGTCTATGGACCGAATTCCCTATAAAATACCCCATCTATTATATGGGGCTATCAACAAAGTTGCGACTTGCGACTAAGTCTTTCTTTTTAACAAAATTATGTGGCGAGGAAAAAAAGCACGTTTTATATAAAATTAGGACAATTAGCCAACGTAATTTATTCAATTAGTGAATGCCAAATAAATTATTTTAGAAAAATTATTCTAATTTAAGTTATTTTTTATGTTAAAATTTAAAAGTTAGTTATATTTTTAATTTCATCTTGGTCTTTTAATATATTTCTGAAACAAAACGACAAAAACATTAATAAAATGAAAATATTTTTAATAAAACTGAAGGTGTAAAGAGGAAAATAGAATTTTCAAAATATCCTGTATTGTTTTTTCCTAAACTCCAAAATGATGTTATTTTGAGATTGTTAGAGATAATTTTATCTTATATATTAGAGGAACATTTTTCCTTTTAATTAAATCTAAACTTTTTTTTTATATACTATCCTTTCCATTTTTATCATCCCCGACTTTCTTCTTCATCAAGTTAAGAGTGGTTATATAATAAAATATAATTTTTACTACTAATTTATCTAAGCATGTTAAGTTTTTTGAATATTAATAAATAAATAATTTTTTTGAATAAAAGTTAGTTGAAAATAAATTTAACCAGATTAAATTAAATTCAAAACTAGCTGGTCATAAATATTATCCAATAAGTGTAGCTCTATTGACAATACAGACCGAGTAGGTAGGAAGATAATGTAATCTATTTGCTTCTAAAAAAATCATATATTCTCTTTACAAAATTTCCAAACAAGTTTGTTAAAACATTGATCATTCCTTTACTATGGGAGAACCGTATATAACAAATCAAAATTCGCAAAGAAAGTTTCAACAGCTTTCGATTGATCAAACTTCCAAGAGACAATTACTACAAAAAAAAAAAAAAAAAAAAAAAAAAACTTCCAAGAGACGAAGACTTCCATTAGAGTCCACTATAGGGATAACGGTGAATTCACTGAATTATATACCATGAAAATGTTGGTTTGTGATCTTTTACCAATTGAGTAAGTGTACGAGAAGAGCACAAAAAATCTAGAGCGTAAAGTTTAGGATTAGGGTTTTTTGGTAAGGTAAATTTCTGTGAAACCGAAACAATGATGATCTAATTAATACATTTTAAAACACAAAAATGGTCTTAGTGCTTTAGATCCAATTGCACCTACAATAGATACCATCAAATAATATAATATTAATTATAATCCAACATTATATATATAGAGTGAGAGAAAAAAAAATTCTCAAGCAGCTTGATGTATATTTATCTCCATCTACCCAAAAACTACTTCGTTTTGTTTATTTATTTCTTTATATTAATTGATTCACCTTTGAATGGTTATGATTTACTTTTTCTTTCTCTTCCTTTATCACTATTGATCCATCTTTGTACGGTTATGATAGGTCCATATATATATATATATATATATATATATATATATATATATATATATATTTATAACATATATATATATATATATATTTAGGTTTTAATGTTTCTACAGTGAATGTAGATAAGTTATCTATATTCGCTTACAAAACGACGTCGTTTTGGGTTGAAAAATTAAAAAATTATAATGAAAAAACTATTATAACCTGAAATAAATTATAATTACAAAAATACCTTGAATTCCGCCTCAAAATGACGTCGTTTTGGGCTCAATGTAGATCAGTTATCTACATTGACTATAAAAAAAATAAACCCTATATATATATATATATATATATATATATTTTCGCTTTGGAGTATTTTATATATGTGATAAATGAAATGATCGGAAAGCTTGATCTTTTGAGTATAATAATACCGTTTTCAATAAAATAAAATGTTATGTAACTACGTAAATTTTTTAAAACTAGTCCGTACATAAACTAATTTTGAAAAAAAAAAACTGGTTTTAAAAAATCCAAAGACTATTTTAATCAAATGTAACTTTTTTCTTCATACTATCCTTTTCTTTTTTATTGTCCCCTGCTTTCTTCTTCACCAAGTTAAAAGTGATTATTTAATAAAATATAATTTTTACTATTAATTTATCTAAGAATGTTATGTTTTTTGAATATCAATAAATTAAAAAAATAATTTGAATAAAAGTTGGTTGAAAATAAATTTAACCAGACTAAATTAAATTCAAATCCAATTATAAAATAAGCTGAAACTATATGAATAGTTTTATCTTAAAATATTAAATGAAATTTGGTGGTTATCAAACGAACTATCCATTATATTTTCGAGGAATATCCTTACTATCAAAATAATTTACTATTTCCATAATCATCATTGGATTAGTATTTTTTTGCTCTTTAAAAACTTTTCAACATTATCTCTCTTCGATCCAATAATGATTACGGATTTAGTGGGTTGATAATAAATTTTTTTGATAGTAAGAATATCTCTTCTTTATATTTTCGATAAAGATAAGCTACCGATAAAGTTGATTAGTCTTATCTTATCTTAAAACTAAGTAACGATTATAAAGAATCCGAAGGGTATATAACGATAGGAGGAGTTCATAGTTACTATCTTTTTTTCTTATTATCTCTTATTATTAAATTTTAACCGTTGATTTCATTCAATCTAACAGTTGTATTTTACTATGTCATACTTATTAATTAATTAATAATATCCAATAGATCATAACCGTTAGATTGACGGAAATCAACGGTTAAGATTTAATAATAAGAAATAGTATGAAAAAAAAGTAATAAGCATGATCTCTCCTAAAATGATAAGTTACACTTTATTCAAAAGTTGAAAAAATACACTCAGTTTGCGCTTCCCGTCGCCGACCTGCTCCTTCATTGCTTCCGGTCCTCCGTTCTTGGAGTCTCTGATTCATTCGTTTTACAATACATTTTGTTTTCTTCTTTCTATTGAAGGGCTCGCATTTTGTGTTCACAAAGAAAACTCTTTCCTTGGAAACCACGGTAAGTCACTCGCTGATTCAATCTTGCCCGGTTTCATTAATCAAACATTTTTTCATATATTTATTTATTTACTTCTCTCTTTCTTTTGGTCTTTCTTGGGTCATGTTATGTTATAATATTAAAATATAACTTATTTCCTTCAACTTTCTTGGTGTTTTAAATTACCATCTTTCGATTAATCCCCGTATATTTTGTCATATTGACAAATTATTATATCTATCAAAATTTTGACTAAGAGTATTAACCTCAAATATCTAATATTATTTTGGTTCCCAAATTTGCATTTCACACATTCAAGAGTGTGAAATACAAATTTGGAAAATAGAATAAAATTAAGAAGTAGTCGAGGTTATATAATATCGTTAGATAAATTTTTTTCAGGAATGTTAATTTGTTTTTATCACAAAATATAAGGGGTTAATTATATTTAAAAATTTAAAATGGTAATTTAAAACATGACGAAAGTTCAATGGAGGAAGTTGTATTTTAGTCTATTATCAAATATATGTTTTTTTCCTAAAAACTTTTTCCATGCACAAATAAAAAATAATTACCATTTACGTCCTTGATTGTTTTGTCTCTCTTTTCTTTTTGTTTTTTATGTGATATTGTTGCTGAATCATATATCGTGTTCCCTTTTGTTTGTTGATGGCATAGTTTTGGGACGGCTTAGATTTTCATTATATTAATTCCAATGAAAAGAGAAGCTTCTCTAATTTGAACATTGCGTAGCAACAGGTTTACAGAGATTATGCGAAGGAGGGGGAAATTAGAGAGAAAAGTAACAAGAGAGATCCCTTATCGCCTTTACATATATTATGTCGTAGCTATAAATGGGTTAGATGGCATAACAGAAGTTTATAGTCCATTCTATATTAGGTCAAGCGTGACCTATTACATATAGTTAAATAAATAGAACAAGATCGAGATAGCTTAGTTAGAAAACAGGTCATAAGTTTCCTTTTTCCTTTTATGTGTCGAGCCTATAAGTTTACAGGCCGACTTATATTATAAAGATATTATTTTAATTATTTTGAATAATAAAATAATAATAATATTATAATGATTTTGAATAGTAAAATAATATTTAAATATTTACCAAAATAATAATAATAATAATAATAATAATATTTAATTATTTTTTAAAATATTAAATGTCTAATAGGCTTAAATGAGTTAATAGGTCTAGGCCTAGAGTTTTATTTTTTAAACATAGGCCAGACCATATTTATAATTTGAGTCTATACAAAACTAACAAATCAGACCATATCTAAATATTTTTACGGGAATGGATCCACTCATGTGAAAAAAGTGGTCATATGATCATGTTATTTGATCACAACCACTCATTTAAAAATTATATATTTTTATCTCTCTTATCTCATCATCAATGAGTAGTTGTGATCTAATAACATGACCATTTTTTCACATGAGATGATATATTTCCTATTTTTACACAAACCTAACCTATTTAACCGAAACTCTACCGGGCTCAACTTATTTAGAACCCTAACTGACTGCTATCAACAAAATCTAACAAAAACAACGGAAAGGCAATAAAACAGAAACGCAATAAAAAAATAAAGGAAACTAAGAAAACTAACCGAATTTTGAGCAGCTTCTCTTTTATGGGTCGTATTGCTATATTCTCGCACCCTTAAAAAACAACCCCGTCATCGAGGTTGATTACCAAGATGATAATTATTTTATGCAATAAAAATAAGATAATGGGGTCCATTATCTTTTTTTTTCAAAAGTAATCGACTTCATTATGTTGTCTCCATTGGATAATAGATAATTATTGTGAGCAACATAAGATAATTATTTTTCTTTTTATAATTATTGTGGGCCAGAATCAATTGTATTTATTTTTTTTATTTTTATAAAAAACGGACTAAGTTATAATTCACATTATAAAAACTATTTATAAATTAAGATGGGTTTGGATATTTGTACTTATTAGTCGTGGGTAAAAGTATAAGCTTACTCCATAGGCCCATTTTAGAAAGGAATTAGGGTTAATAAATTTGGTTAGGTCCTCTTTGCATTTACCAAAATTAATTGCTCTAAACCCTAAACCATGTAGACAATTGTGATTAGAGAGTGGTATGAAAGTTGTGAGTAAGGAGTGACGTGAACTGCAAGAAAATAAGATCTCATCTTTCAAACCTTACAAAAATGTCGGAGCAAGCAAGAACTAAGATAGAAATCCAGAATAATGTCGTCATTCGGTAAACCTAAAATTTTTGGTGTTTTTCGTATAATCGTATTGTGCGATTTCTTACACCAACTTTATTGGGTGCTTTGCCATAGTCATATCTGAACCAATCTAGCATGCACCAAGCATTGCCCCCAAAACTGAACTATACAGTGATGTATCAAGAAAATTGCACCTTAAGTATATATCAATTATTGGATTGAGAAGAATAATAGGTGAAACTATAAAACTATTTTATAACAAATGCATATAGCTGCTCTTCCCTTTTAATCGCCACCCTTACGTACATTGATTTCTTCAAAGTTATTTGAATTTTTTCGGTTGTTATCTTTGAATTTAGTATGATAAGGTGCATAGTTTGTAGGATGTATAAATTGTTATCTGTGCAAGCTGTTGCAGTTCTGTGTTATGTTTCTTATGAGTAGACTGTGGTTTCAAGTCTATGACAATATATTTTCATCTTCATTAGATCTAATGATAAATTATATTGAAGACTTGTAATCATTTTTATTCTTTTCAACTTTCAAGTACTATTTCTGAATTAATATGTTCCCAATTTTTTTCCTCTACACTATACGATAATCTTACTTGCATAACCCTTCAATCCATTTGAGAGATGATCACACTCACTTCATTTTGTTTTTTCTTTTCAAGGGCCAAAGATCTGCAGACTCTGTAAGCTAGGCTTAGGTCTACATTTGAGAGAGAATTGAAGCCAATAATTTGTAAGAAACCAAATGAGATTCATGACAAGTTGGCGTGAGCGACCTTGTATCAACTATTGTCGTGGTGTGATTAGAGATACAACGTAAGTGATATGTTTGTGCATTAACTTTTGCACTTGTAGTGTTATTTTTTATCTTGGAGGTGCATGCAAGTTATAATGTGTAGAAAATAAATTCATATAAAAAAAGAATCAACATAAGGGAAACATGGAAAAACCCAATATATTCTGCAAATCCATTTTTTGGGTTCCCAGATTATTTTCTGTGAAAAGAACTTATGCGTGTCATTTAGTTGAGACTGACTAAATTTTTCTTTAGTGATCGAATTTTGAATTCCAGCATTCATTATGAGCAAATGCAACAGCCATGTGATCTTGCTACAATTCTAGAAGAAGGGCTTTTTGTAGATGCTTCATCAGAGGTTTGATTCTGATATAATTATGTGTCTAAAAATGTGAGTTCTAATTTGTTAATTAAACCAAAAGGAGGATCAAATTCAAGTTTTGTACAAATACTATTGGTTAAGCACCAGTTCCATTTATTGATATTTTAATTTCAAATATTTGGCAGGATGAGTACATGAACCAGGAGACATTGACACAAAGATTGCTAACCCAACTAGATAAATTGCAAGGAACAAATTGCAGTCAACAAGTACCCTGCTCAATTGACAACAATAAATATGGCTTATCAAACAAAGACATGTCTCACCCTACTTTTCTTCAGGAGGCAGTTTTTATGCCTAATGAGTTTCCGTCATTTGGTGCATTCACTGATATGAACGTGTTGCCTAACTACTGTGCTTATGGTGGGTCAAGCAATCTAAACACTAGCTTCCAATCACCGAATTCCCTTTTTCAGCTACAACATGCAAATGATGCTATGCTATGTAGTTTTTGTGATCTTCCTAAATTTCAATTTCAAAATTATAAGCACTTTGGATTTTGTTTTTCTTTGCAACCTTTTTTTTTAATTTCACTAAAAATATTTTTATTTTTAATAACATTTACCCGTTTGATTTACTACTCTGACAGCTGAGATGGATCTGATACAATATGGAGATTGTTTGGGGTCTAACCAGAAAAATGAATCTATGGCTTTCTTCACTACAATGGGAAATTCACAACAGAGTGAATCTTTGAATTTGTTGATGCCTCAAAATGTCTCAAGGGAAATTTCTGATGTCCCTAATCTATCTCCTAACATGAACTCTAATTGGCAAAGTTCAAGTGTTGGGAATTTGTGGCAAGATCAAACTAAGTGGGATTTTCTATCGGATTTCAAACATTTAGAGCAGCCATATGATCATTGCAGTAATGCTTCTATGGTCAAGACAGGATCATGCTTTGTGGATCAAGGTGCAAATTGTTATCCACTGTTAGGACTGTTGAAGCAAACTCATCTTCCTACAAAAAATCACTATGGGGAGAAACAATTATTGTGTGCCAACAGTAATCTCAAGTCTAATAAAAGAGATACTTATGACTCTTCTGGTGAATTTGAAGGCATGCTACCATCGAAGAAAAGAGTTAAAACGGATCCTGCATTTGGTGTCTCTTCAATCAATAATTTTACTTATAACTTACCTGCTCCTGAGATGGTTCAACCTTGCATTCTGGAAGAAACTCCAGTATTGAACAAACAGCCACTCTCTCCCCTCGATGAAATTTTGCAGCTTTATTATGATACTTTTTCACAGCCAACACAAGATTCCACTAGCATTAGTGAGGTAAAGAACAAGGTGATTGATGAAACATTTGGAGACACTTTCAAAAGTGAAATTGTTATGGCTGAAAACATTGATGCTGGTCAAATATCAAAGGAGACACACCCAAAAAGCCATCATGTTACAGCCAACAACAAATCAAAGCAAGATGTTAAAATATTGAACTCCAATGCGCATACTCTTTGCAATGATCCTAGTTCTCTATCTGATATAGAGGATGTGATGGGAAAAAATGAGTCCAAGAATGAAAAAATTCTATGTGAAGGACATAAAGGTACTCATGTATCGCCTGAGATGGTTCAACCTTGCACTCTGGAAGGAATTTCAGTATTGAACAAACAACCACAGTCTCCCCTCTCTGAATTTATACAGCTTCATATGGAACAATTTCCACATCCAACACAAGATTCCACTAGCATTAGTGAGGTAAAGAACATGGTGATTGATGAAACATTTGGAGACACTTTCAAGAGTGAAATTGTTATGGCTGAAAACATTGATGCTGGTCAAATATCAAAGGAGTCACACCCCAAAAGTCATCATGTTATAGCCAACAAGAAATCAAAGGAAGATGTTAAAATATTGAACTCCAGTATGCATACTCTTTGCAATGATCCTAGTTCTCTATCTGATATAAAGGATGTGATGGGAAAAAATGAGTTCAAGAATGAAATTTTTCTATGTGAAGGACATAAAGGTACTCATGTATCGGAGGAGCCACACTCCAAAAGCCATCAAGTGATCACCATCAGTAACAACTCCAGTGCTCATACTCCGCGCAATGATTATGGTGCTATCGCGAAGATTAGAATTGAGATTGAGAAAATGGTCACAAATGAAGTTGAAGAGCAAGAAGATGAACCAGAGAAGGAAACAAACTCGTCTAATTCAACAGTTTGTGGGGTTTCCTTAACTGATTTTCTGATGTGTGATCAAATAAGAGAACACATTATGAGTTTTGGGCAACATTTTGGTCAGGTTAGTACACTATCTTTAAGTGTTTGCCACTCCCCTTAATCTGTTAGGACTAATCTTATATGTTTGTCTCTTTACCATTCCTATTTCTACTAGCATGATTAAATTTTTAACAAAAATAATGATCATTAAAAAAAAACAACTTTGGTGGCAGAAAATCTATTACACTAATATGCACCCATTGTAAACAACTTTGCCATCTTCTACTACCTTCTTTCTCACACGTAAAATATATACAATGTTTCTATTCTTTTTACCTTGGTTTTGGTTTCGACATCTCTAGTTTTAGTCCTTGGATGTGATGTATACATTTGCAATGTTATGATAATTTGCATCTTCGCAAGTTATGATCCATTGGAGTCTGCCATCCATGTACATGTAAGTTAAAACTTCATTTTTCTTAGTAATTTATTCTCTTTCTCTTAAGTGAGAGTCATATCAATGAGATGATAGTTCTAATAAGCATACCTTCTAAATAGAAATGGTATTTATATATTTCAGAGGAGAGCTATATTTACAAACTTTTTGTTTACGAACTCTTACAAATCGAACTATGTATTCCGGAGTGTGTATTCTCGAGAATACATAGTTTGATTTGTAAGAGTTTGTAAACAAAAAGTTTGTAAATATAACTTTTTCCGTATTTTATTAGCTTGCTTTTAAATTTAATATCATATTCCAAACTACAACCACGAACCAGGAAGAAATTTCTGACAACACATGTCAATTATGTGGAATGGATGAACTGTCATTTGCACCACTACCAATCTATTTCCTAACTTGTGGTGTCTGCATAAAGAGAAATGCAAACTACTACTACTGTAAAACTGCAGAAGAATTTGATATAGACAATTGCTTTTGCACCACTTGCTATAAAAAATCTAGACGTAAGACAATCGCATTCAAAGGGACATCTATTTCCAAGACATTCTTTGATAGAAAGACAAATTATGAAATAATGAACGAACCAGTAAGTTAAGGTCTCCCTGTACTATAATATAATTCTACTGTTTGTTTATAAAGGATTCTAAACTCTTTCTCTATGATTGTTGTTTCCTGTAGTGGGTTCAATGCGATAAATGCAAAAGATGGAAACATCAAATATGTGCACTCTATAACACTACTACAGATATGGAAGGAAATTCTGAGTATATGTGCCCCATGTGTTGCTTAAATGAAACTGAGAATGGAATGCGTGAACCTTTGAGAAAGACTAATATTTTTGGTGCTAAGGACTTGCCAAGGACCATGCTCAGTGAACATATAGAACAAAGACTTTTAAAGCGCCTTGAGCAAGAGAGAGCTGACATGGAAAAATTTGAAGGGAAAAATCTTGATGAGGTAATTATGTCTATGTTTTAGACTTGAAAATTACTTGAACTTTTTTATCTTTTAATTTCATCTTTTTTTCTAGTCTTATTTAAGCAGGGTAAGTTTGAAAACAATAGTAATTTAATGTTAAAGGAAAATAATACCAAGAAATATGTTTCTGTTAATACAACTACATTTAGTTTTTTTGGAAAAAAAACAAATTTCCTGATTTTCAATGCATAACACTTCAAATTGGCAGGTTTTAGTAGCAGAAAATTTGTGTGTTAGAGTGGTGTCATCCTCTAACAAACAATTGAAAGTGGAGAAGCAGTTTCTGGACATCTTTTCTACGGGGAACGACCCTACTGAGTTCAATTATGTAACAAAAGTAAGTTCTGAGATTAATCTGTAAATAAATTTACATGTAATTATTTCTATAGAACTAAACAACTCCGCAAAGGAAATGACTGCATTACATTCTATTTCAGGCTATTTTTTTGTTTCAAAAGATTGAAGGAGTAGACGTTTGCCTTTTTAGCATGTATGTCCAGGAGTTTGGCTCAGACTTTAGACATCAAAATCAGCGTTGTGTATATATTTCATATCTTGATTCTGTGAAGTATTTGAGGCCCCAAAGACAGGCTGCGACTAGAGAAGCTCTTCGTACCTTTATTTACCATGAGATATTGGTGAGTTGTTTATAAATTATTTTGGTGGAAAGATATTCATACTATCATTTTTTTTCACCGCCAGTTCACTACTTTTCTAATCATTATTAGATTAGTATTTTTTCTCTGAAAAGATTTTTAAAAAAAAAAATAACTTTAATATTATAATTATGTACTCTCATACCGTGGACGATAGTAAATGGTAGTAAAAAAAATAGTAATATGAATATCAGAATAAACTCTTAATACTTTAATTAATGTTATTTTTGTCTTTCCTATTCTATCATCATATTGGATACCTTGATTATTGCAAGAAACGAGGTTTTGCAACTTGCTACATATGGTCTTGTCCGCCTACGAAGGGGGATGATTATATACTATATTGCCACCCTATAACTCAAAAGACTCCAAAGAATGATCATCTACGACACTGGTTTGTCTTTCTATCTCCTTATGTATGTTTGCACGTGTACAGTATTCATGTGCTTGTGTACGCATAAGCCAGATCCCATACATTGTTTGATGATTGAATACTCAGTTTTAAATTTGCCAGTTTTAAATTTGCCACTTAGACTTGTTTTGCTTAAATAATTTATTATTTAATTGTATATTATTTTAAATTTCACTTATACTTATCGTACTTATAAAAATATATCACTTAAATTTTTTGTGGTCTTATATATACATAATTTTTTTCTCAATTTTTATCTTATATTATTATCATATTATAAATTAAAATTATATACTGCAAAGTATAAATTATTTATTTAAATATAAATTAATAATAGTATCAATTATATTCTTAATTTTTATTTGAGAAATGTTTTTTATTTTTTAAAAAAAAAATTAGCTTTTGGAAAAAAAAATTCATCCAAACAAACTCTAAATGATATATTTTTATAATCACGCGATGAAGGTAAGTAAAAATTTAAAATCAGTTAAATGATATATGATTTAATTGCAATACATCCAAATGACAAATTTGAAATCAGATACAGTTAAAAGTGATGAATCATAAAACGGAAGCATTTGTTTATATATTTTTATAAATTATGCTATGTACTAGTATAACCTAGTATATTTTCAAAAATATATAATGTAATTTTTAACATATTATAAACAAAAAAAATTTGTAAATATATCCGGACGACGTTTTGCCTTATTTTTATCATCCTTAGCTTGCCATGAAAAAATTGGCACCGACATGACATGTATAAACATTGGGTATTTATTTACTGTGTGTGTAGGTATAATTCAATGCTGAGAAAGGCTTCAGAAGAAAATATCGCAATTGGTTTGACTAATATGTATGATGAATTCTTTGATACAAGTGGGAAATGTGACTCCAAGTCCAAGGTAACAGCTACTTGTTTGCCATACTTTTATGAAGACTACTGGTCTGGAGCTGCTATCAATATAGTCAAAAAAATTGAAGAGACCGGAGGAAAAAATGATGTAAGAAAGGTAAAGAAAGGAGTGAAGAAAAGAACTTCCGAACTTACAAATCCTCCAAAACGCTCCAGAGACGTTCAAGTGATGCAAGAGGTCTGTATGTCTATTTTATTTTTCACCTACATTCATTTGTTATTTTAGGTTAGGTTTTCATTCATCAATTCAATGCCTAGAGGAATTAGATGCTTTATGATGTTTTGAAATTGCAAAAATAATGGGTTTATTTATATTTACTTATATGATGAATTTTATTGAATTGCTTTGGACAAAAACCTCCCAGCCTTTGTTTATATAACCATAAACATTTATAGCTTCCCACAAAATTCAATATAACAAAATTTTATTTACTCATGATTTGAATCTATTTACTTTTCCTCTATGGTGCTAGTTTTATTAGTGACTCAGTGAGTCATGTAGTGAAATTCTATTTACCATTTACCAATAGACCTTTGGTCTTCTTTGTCTTTTCCTTTGTTGCAGTGTTCTGTATTTATTGATTTAACAAATTATGGAATTTTAATCTGATCTTTCTTCTACTACTGCCTCTCTAACAGTTGGGCAAAAAAATATCACCTCACAAGGAAGATTTCATTATCGTCCAGTTGCAGTATGCATGCATCAATTGCAATGAAGTGATAGTGTCCGGAAAGTGTTGGTTCTGCAGGGAGTGCAAGATATTCCAGGAGTGTGAAAGGTGATGATGACTTAATATGCACATACTTAGACTATATCTAGTTGAATTCATTATGCACCTCTTGGTCTCTTGTGTATTTTTCCCTCTTCTTCTAGAATGTGTTGCTTCCTTCTATATTAATTAAGTAGCATTTATCCCTTGGATAAGAAGTCAAAGTACTGATTATTATATACTTTACTATTTCAGATGTCATTCTGCTGACATACACATTTCTAGTAGTGGGGAGAAGCATACACTCTGTCAGGTGAGCTGCCAAAGTTTTAGGCTATTTTCATGAGTTTTTCTCTCTCCTAATAGTAATTTCTGGCAAAGTAACATATTTTAATCATGTTCCCAGGTTCTTGTGAATGATATCCCTCTCCATACTAAGGAGAATGATATCATTCTTGATAATGGATTACTTGACACTAGGGATAAATTCTTGAGCTTCTGCCAGAGGAATCATTTTCAGTTTGATACACTCCGCCATGCTAAGCATTCCTCAATTATGATCCTTCATCATCTTAAGAATACTACTGTGCTGACAGTCAGAAAAACATGTAGTATTTGTTGTAAAGACAATGAGTTCCAAATGAGTTGGCAATGTAAGATATGTTCATTCACCATCTGCTCAGCCTGCTATAAGGATAGAGGTGCATCTTTTCATGAGCACAAGTTGAATCAATGTTCTTCAAGGGAACTTTGCCGGCCAGAATTAAGAGTTGAAGCAGAAATTTGAAGTGGTATGAACTTGGAATGGATTCTCTGGCTTTATAAATGACATCTATAATACAAATGATTGTGATGTTTTTGCTTCGTATATATTTTTCTCCTGATAGTTATGTTAAGCTTGAAAGGTGTTATTTTGTGCATTGTAATGTGCAGTATATATCCCTTTTCCCAACAATTGATTGCATAGGTAGTCTCATCTTTTCTTTATTATGTTCTTACTTCAGGTTTTGATGTTCATGCCAGATTGTCTGGCTATCTTCCTGTAGTAAGTTTGTGTAATTTTATCGTGTTAGATTCAGGGATAGTTCCTATTGACAAAGTTTCATGTTTCTCTTTTTTTGAGGGGCTATTTTTTGTTATTTACTAAGCATTTGATTTTTTTTATTCTTTTTTTTTTCTCAAAAAAATCTTAAACCAAATTATGAGGTGGATCAACATGGATATCATTTTTTATTTTTGGTTCTTGCTATTCTTAATCCAAATTATGGAATGAATGTATGGATATCAGGATATCGGTGATCATGTTTCGGCCCTTGCTAAATTAACTACTATTGGAAAGTTATTCATGTTATAATAGTTGTTTGTTTGTAACTGACATTAAATGTGTCTGGTATGGAATCAAGAATCATGATTACATTGCAAGATCTAGTATGCTACATGAAAATTAGTGTGTAAGCATTTTTTTGGTGCAATCATACTCCTATGGTGCCCATCGAAAAAAGCAGAAGCACCTTCAAGTTGTTGTTGAATGAAGAAACAAAATAAAGTTTGCATACATATTTTGTTCAATTTGTTTCTTTCACGGGTACTATGACAGAGTGCTGATGCTTGCGCTTGTTATTCTTCAACTCATGGGGTCGATAGTCTTGCCTTAAAGTGTGAAAAATATTAAGGCTGCGACTTGAACTCTATGGATAAAGTAGGCTTCCTCCCTCTATTGACAATACAGTTAGTTCCTCTCATATATTTGTATGATGTATTCCCATGTGACTCCAGATTTTGTCTGAAACATACCTAGCCACTACTTGAGGTGCAACATCAACAAAAAGCATTTTCCAATAAGCTGGATAAAATAAACTTATTTGATTTGTTAGAAAAATAAGGTTTCGGTTTAATTCGATTTGAGCACACCATTTTTTCATTCTTAAGTCTCAAACTTTGATATTAAGGGGAACAATTTCATTGTCACTTGAATTAGTTATTATTGATTTATTTTGTTTAATTTTTAAAATGATATAAATATTGAACAAAGTGCAATTGAAATGATAATACAATATTCTAAATTTTTGTTAATAAGATCTTGTCCTACAAAAGAGAAAAAAACCAGTAATGAATGTCCTTTCATTTTTTACCTCTATGGACAGTATTATAATAAATTCTATATTTGTACTATGGAATACTTCTATGTATTAATTGGTCAATCTGACAATTTTAAATCTTGGGCTAATTGACTATTCTGCCCTTGTTTGTTAAATAAAATTATCATTTTGCCTCTTTTCAAATTATATACCAATCTGCCATTATTTCACCACATTGATTGCGAGTTATTGGAGTAATTACTCGAGCAACTCAGGCAAGTGGGCAACTCAAATTTGAATCCACGAATATTTTTTATTCAAACCAAATTTTAATGTATTATACATGTATGTCTAAATGGACTTGGGATGTTATACATGTGTGTCCAAAACAATAATTATACATATGTCCAAAACAATCAAAGGACAATCTTCATCCAAGCTTTTTTACACTAAAATGTTATAAACTTCAGAATGGCATATCTTTTTGGCTTGGTTGTCTGAATTAGGTATTTTTTTTATTTCATATAACTTTTCAAGATCTACCTGATGCCAAATACCTTAAGGAAATTTGGTCAAATTTTTTTTTCCAAAAATATGCTTCCTTCTTGGGTTTCAGGAATGATAAAGTAAATGGACATAAATCTTTAAAAGTAATACCATATGAATATAAATATGCCCATAAAACATAGTTTTGGACCTTCAAACCCATATATGAAATCCAAATATGTGTGCATCATGACATAATAATAAACATGGATTAATAAAAAATGAACCCAATTTAACAAGTCATTGGAAATCAATAGAAAATCATGGTTTGACATCTTGAATTGAACGAATGGAGATTGCGCACAGTTGTAAAAGACTCACCAACATCCATCAAAGTCTTCTCACGCGCACGCCTCTCTCTTCTTCGTCTTTGTGCGTCGACAGTAGCCATAGATGGAGAGCTCAAATTCCAACTTCTCCATTTCTTGATGAAATCAAGTGAGGTAAAAAGCAAAGTTGCTTAGAATTGGGAGACAAACACAACCCCAAATCCATAATCTATCAAAAAGCCTTGTATTGAGAGGAAAATGGAAGGGAAAGTGGCGCCCCTTTGTTGATTGAAGGTCCAAGAAGGCGTTTTGATCTCATTTGAGGTTGGAAATCCACTCATTGGGTAATTCTAGGTAAATCTATGTTAAAAAATCCTAGTTTTCTTTGAGTTTTGAGAAAGATTGATTTAGGTTTTCATTTTTTAAGTTTGGCTTGATTGAGCATGATAAAGCTTGATCGAGGCTTAGCTCATGTTGAGAAAAGTGTTCAGATGAAGATTTTAACGGTGAAAATGTATTTGGAAATTTTGAGATATCGTATTTTTGAATAGTGACGTATATGAATAGTACCGTATACGTGAATAGTGACGTATACATGAATAGTACTGTAGAGATGAACAATACTGTATGTATGAATAGTTAAGAAATATTTGATAAGTAAAAGATAAAATCAATAAATGGTTTCTGGATAACTACTTGACTTTGAACTATTTTATTGATATTTGTATGAATTCCTTCTCTAGGTGTGCCTAGGGATTGTGAACGTTTGGATTCTCGTGGAGCAAGATAAGTAGCTTGTTCTTCAAGTAAGCAAATTGTAAAGCTCCAAGAGGTAAGCTTTATGTTTATTAGATTCGCTCTTACTTTGTGTTCCGCCAAAGTGTACGGACTGTGGTCAGGTTGTATGATATGTATGAGATATATGATATAGATGCATTCATATAGAACTATATGATGATGTGATGTGATATGTTTTGATGTGTTTAATTTGATATGTTTTGATATGTTTTGATGTGTTTACTTTGATATGTTTTGATGTGATTTCTGTAATGATCTCTGGCCATTGATTCTATATGCACTAATGTCCGCTTGGGGTCCTCCCTTGTAACTGACTGTGTATATATCTGTTATATGTTGAGTTCTGCTTGGGGTCCTCCCTTGGGAACATGTGCACTGATTTTCGCTTGGGGTCTTCCCTTGGGATTGACTGTGTACACCTCTGTTATGTGATGATCTCTGGCCATTGATCCTATGTGCACTGATGTCTGCTTGGGGTCATCCCTAGGGACTGATGGTGTACACCTCTGATATGTTCCGGTTCCGCTTGGGGTCCTCCCTTGAGAACACGTATGTTGATTTCTGCTTGAGGTCATCCCTTGAGAATGACTGCGTACGTCTCTGATACGATATGTTTTGTTCTGATGTGATTACTGTGATGATTGTGTATATGATATTTGATACGTACGTTGATTTCCGCTTAGGGTCATCCCTTGGGAATGATTGTGTACGTCTCTGATAAGATATATTTTGTTCTAGTGTGATTATTGTGTTGATATTTGTAAATGAATTTATGTGCGTTGATTTTCACTTGGGGTCCTCCCTTGGAAAATACTACGTGCATCTCTGATAAGATATGTGTATATATGCTCAGTTTAGTTATGATATTTGTTACGTGCATTGATTTTCACTTGGGGTCCTCCCTTGGGAAATACTGCGTGCATCTTTGATAAGACATGTGTATATGCTTGTTCAGCTATGATATTTGCTTATATGATGTTTTGTATATTATGTATCTGACTGTCATGCAGGAAGTGACCCAGGGTATGGATAGTTTTCCATAAACCTGGAGCTTACTAGATATTTGTCTCTAACTCCGTTTTGGGATATGATTTCAGGAACACAGTTAATTGAAGAGCCCTCATGGGACAAGGACACTACCCGTGGCTAAAGGTACTAGTATGAGGATATGGAGTTCTGGGTGGCCGGACGCTACTATTTATTATATATGTTATTTTTGGAGAATATGTAATGTTGTATAGTGTTCTATTCATTTTGGGATCATGATGTTTGATCCATTATACAATATATGATCCGTTATGTTTTGTACATGTGTTCATATTTGATGCATGTACATTTGTGTATTCAAATATGTGCATGTGCTGAAATATGTATGTTGTTAGACATAGTGGCATGGAGCCAGTTATGCACGCAATCATGGATGGGTATATAGTCCTTTATAGATATCTGGTATTTTTGAAATTATATATGGTATAAACTGTTTATCAGGAAGTTTTGAGAGTGGGATTGACAAATCCTCAGTTGTCCAATTAACAGAGGTTACTCTGCCCGATTTTTGTCTTCGTCAAATACGAATTAAATTAGGAGAAGTATGCAATGTGAGATATCATGTGAATTAAGATTAATGAAAAAGGAAAAAAAATTAGCTCGTATTTTCGTAAGTTAAGTCTTCTGTTGTTTCTGTTTGTATCATATGTATATTAATTGAACCAGCTCGAGACGGAGATGTTACACATGCCCCCTAAGCTTGCATGTAATTTCTACTACGTAGCTCTCCTGTCACGATGATATCCATGTATTCCTGGCAGAGTCTATAATAACCCTCACATGATCCTACACCTGCTCATCCACAACCTTCCACATAGTTCTCTTCATGACTAGCCCTGGACAAATGAGGAGTATATTCCCATAAATATGCCCTCAAAATGCATCTCATTTATATACGCATTTATTGTTTTGGTTAACCAAAATAAAACGGATTTAACCATTATTTTATATTACATTACCAATATAATATGAGAATGACGGACCCGGATAATCAAAATTTTATCAAGGATTTTTTATATTCCCTTCAAATGATTATTTCATGTACTCAACTAAGAATACCAAGTTCTTGACACACATTTGACATGAACGCAACTCGCATACACAAATTGACACTCCTAGTTCACACAAAAGGGTTACGAACGCACCCTCGTTAAAATCAAACAATCACAATTTCGGGGAAGAAATACAAACATTTTGATACAATCAATCTCCGAGGGGATGTAGCTAAAATTCCAAATCTCTAAACTAGAAGCTACATACTATCGAATGCCTAAAATTATCAACAAATACACCGAAGGTTCCAAATATCCATGAAAACGTAACTGAAAAAAGCTAAAGAAACTCAATCACCCCCTCCCCACCCAAGTACCCCGTGGTTATAACTTAAGATCTACTTCCAATTGTTAATACAAGATAACTACTTGCGAAATCATCACTAAAGTTGATGAGGTTCACACATAAAGCTCCATTGAGTTTTATGTTGTAAAAAAGTTCCAAAGCTTCTTCCCTAAAGTTGATGAGGTCCACACATAAAGCCCCATTGAGTTTATGTTGTAAAAAAGTTCCAAAGCTTCTTCCCCATTGAAGCTTCACCAGGATGTTGGTAATCTTCATCATCCTCATCATCAACTCCACGGGCACCTTCCCCATGGGATTCACTCCTGTACTCAGTATCATTCTCCTCCGCTGTTCCATTCACCTCCTCACTCAATGCCATATTGTTGGCAAAGGTCCTTGTGGTATCAACATAAACATCCTGGGTCTTCACAACTTGCTGAGACTGAAACAAACAATAGCAAGCAATTTAACACCACTTTGATATCCATAACTTCTTAACATCTAGAGCTTATTATCAACCCCAAATTTCAGAAGTTTAATGATTAGTAATACAAAAATAAATCTAACTTTAAAATATTAAATAATAAAAAGAATACAAGGAATAAAAGTAGGTGCATGATTGAAATGCTAGGTGCATGATTGAAATGCTATATACCAAGCTTACCTCCGCAAGATGTACGCTTCCCCCATTCTCATTAGTAACCCCAACGGAACGTGAATGAGAAGTTTTTGGGTACACAATTCCTTCTTCAGCATCTTTTACACGATCAACCTCTCCCTCACTTTCTTTACTGCCGCCAGCAGACTTGGCTCTAACAGATGAAGTTGTTGCTCCGCTATAAAAGAGTTCAGGGCACATCCACATGTAAGTGGATTAAAAAAAAGCCAATAATCATTTCACAACTATAACTTTTAATGATAAAAGGGAAATTATGAGTCTAAATCAGCTAAAAGATACGTACGTTTTGGGTCGCCTCAAATTATATCTAGTTTCGCCAGCAGTTTGTACGGGAGGAGCAGCAGCAGCCTTCTGTCGCCTTCTTTTGCGTTGCTCTGGTATTATACTATCAGAGTGTCCTTCACTGGCATCTCCATCATGCCCACTAACAGTCAATTGAGATGTTTGGACCCGGTTTCGCTTCCGTCCATTCGCTGGTACTCTTCTACTGGATGGTTTCTGACTTTCAGAATTCACATTGGCAGAATCTTCAGCATTTCCATTTGGAAACTCTGTCTCACGATCATCCACAGATTCCCCAGGTACAGCTTCAGCTGCTTTTGATTCTCCGAGTATAGCCTCAGCCTCTTTGAGAACAGCTTTCACAGTGTGCGTACGCTTCACTCTCGTCCTTCCCGCTCCCTTGCGAGGTTTCTGCTGCCCAACCTTAGCATCAGGAGGCTGGGAATCCTCTGGTACCTTGTTGTCAATATTGCTCTGGTTGTCAATAGATGGATCATGGTCAGCTTCAACCTCTGTGATATCATTGCCAGATTGTACCCTACGAGCATCAAAAGAATCATTTACAATAGCAAATGACAACTCTGCTTCATTTTCAGTGCCAGGAATCCTTCCTGATGAATCTTCCATGTCAGCGTTCTCAACAGGCAAAGTTTCCATGTCTCTTAAACTGCCAACATCTTCAGATTCAATCTTTCTAATTGGGGAGATCTTTAAAATCTTAGAGGTGCATTTACGTAGCCAAGAGATGGTACCACCAGAAACTGATGACTTAGGATTAGTTGAAGGAGACGCTCCAGTATTTTGCCTTGAAGAAGCCAGATTTACATCAAAACCATCCTGCAAAATATCACTTGCCAAATTTGGAAGAGTAGGCACCTCTAAATTCTCAATGTCAGCAGAGGATTGTAAATCAGACAGCACAAATTCAGAGATCATTTCCCCACAATTCTGGCAACTCCTAAATTTCTCAACAAACTCAACAAAGCGTCGTCTCTCTACAATAAATTGTTCCCGCTGATTTTTCAGCTTCCTATTAAGGTCAACAAGAACATCTATGTCCTCTTGCATTTCCATCCTTTGCCTTTCAAGATGCTTTTTATTCTCATCAACTTCTTGTTTCTCCTTCTCTAATTTACTTCTTTGAAGTTTCATTTCATCCATTTCTCTATTAGCTACTTCATTCAAGAAATTAATATTGTTTAATTTACTCTCTCTTTGTTCCTCAAATAGCTTCCTCCTCTCAAGCAAGTCTTTTTCCTTCTGCTCTAACTGATTCTGCATATCAGCTTCCAGTTCTTTTTTCTGCAGCTCAAAATCCAGAAGCATTTGGTTTCTCTCACTTTGAGCTTTTTCAGCTAGGCTTGACTTCTCCAACTCCATTTCCGTGGCAAATGACTCTTTAGCCAACTTAAGAGTTTCCAACTCCCTTTGTAGGTAATCCTGTGTGGCCTGCTGCTCATTCTTTAATTTTTCTTCTTCAAATTGTTGTAATTTTAATATTTCTTCCTTCTGTTGAATCACATTTTTCAGCTCTTTCTCCACTTCTTCTCTTTTCAGATCCAGCTCATCCCATTCTCTTTCAAAAGTCTCTTTTTGCTGCCTCAAGTCATCAGCTTCCTTCATAATGAGTTCTTTCTGGAGCCTGTACTGCTCAACTTCATGCTTCAACTGTGACTGCAAGCGCAGATATTCAGACCTCTCTTCCTCAGTCACTTTAAGACGATTAATCTCTTCATTTATCCTCATCAACTCTTCTTCATTGTTAGTCTTTATTTTCTCAACTTCAGCCTTAAGACTGAGCAATTCCTCTCTCTCGCTTTCTATTTCCCCTTTCTCATTCTCCATTTTTTTCTCCTCAGACTTAATAGACTTCTCCCTTTCCTTCAAAGCTTTGACTTTTAGTTCATGCTCTTTCTCTTTCTCCTTAAGCTTCTCTGCCTTCTTTTCCAAGGCCTGCTCCCGTTTTGTAACTTTCTCCTCCATGTGATTGATTTCAGCTTCTTTCTTTTCCACTTCCAGTAATCTAGTCTTCAATCCATCTTCAAAGGATTTTCTTTTCTCATCCAATTCAACTGCAAACTCCTGCTTCTTCACATCAAGATTGGCTTGGTGTTCATCAAGAAGCTTCTGAATCTCAACCTGCAAAGAGTCCAGGCTGTACTCAGCAAAAGAAAGAAAATGGAAAAGAGTGATAGCTGCATGACAGTATACCATTCAATAACTCATGATGCTCACAACACATTGATTTTATTATTAGCCTGACAATTTCATACCATTGTTCCAATTGCCAGATTATTCAAAAGCAGACACCCAACAGCTGAGCTAATTTTTGAATGACCAAGAGTTGCACAATAGTAATGCAATAAAATAAATAAAATTCTGCAATTTACATAGGGCCTTGGGATAAAGGTGTTGTTGATGTTGATGTTGACATAGGGCCATTGGCCACCCATCTCCACGATTTCCCAGAAAAAAATAATAAGCAAATGAGCAGGTACAAGAACATACTTTTTCTCTAGCATTGAGCTTCTCCTCCCATGCAGATAATTCCTTCTCTTTGAGGTCCAAGTTCATTTTCATAGAATCGCATTCCTGCATCAGATATGGACCTATTAAAACATGATGCCAGAATAAACAGAAGTACAGCTAAACAATATCACATGAACAAAAATATTTACCTTCTCTTTTAGAGTTATATTTGCAAGCCTACTGTTCACATCATCTTCTTTACTTCTCAACGTTACATTAGTTTCATCAATGTTCTTCTGTGCCTCTTCAAGGTCCTTCTCTTTCTGCCTGCATAATCTGTCACTCTCATTAGCCCTCTGCTCTCTTTCATTGAGAATTCTTTGACCCTTGGCAAGCCTCTCTTCTCCCTCCTGCAGTTTCTTCTCCCATTCTCGCAAGTCCTCTCTCTGCTTAGACAAAGTACTCTCATGTGCTTCTTCCCTGTCATAAATCAAAATAAGTTAGCGACAAGAAATTCTAATACAGATTACAAAGAGAAAAATGATAAAACTTTTCAAATAAAAAGAGAATAAACAACAAAGGGATTACTCTGCAATGAAGGATAAACGATCCCTTCGAAGTGCAGACTCTTGAGCCTCCAAGTCTTGTGATTTCCTATCAATCTCAGAACTCTTTCTACTGATTTCTGCAAGTTTGGCATCAGCAGAACGTAACTTGGCTTCTACTTCTAATGATTTCTCTTCAATGCTAGCTACTAAAGCATTTGCTTCAGCCAACTTTGAGTCTCCTGTAAATTTAATTTTTGCATGCTCTGACCGCATTTCTCGCAGAGCCTTCTCAAGCTGTTCACACATGAGTTTCCAAATATGAGCAAGAAATAACCATAATTCAGTGTTATGATAATAAAAGCATCAACAAACACAGACTATCCGCCAATAAAGTTTCACATAAGAGGCATGCATTTTTATATAAGAAAAAAGTTAACATGCACATTAAAAAACTTACATCAAGCACACACTCTTTCTCAACACCCAAGGCCTTCCTCAGATTCTCTTCTCGCTTCTCTGCCTCAGATAGAGCAATTAAATGAGCTGCTTTTTCTCGTTCTAGAGCATCCTTCACTTCTACTAAATCTTGACTCAGTTCGTTATACTTAGAGCTCCACTCTTTTTTCTCAATCAAGAGAAGACCCATATTGAATTGGTACTCATAAAGCTGGCCCAAAGAAGCATATAATCATGAGAAACCACAAAATAAACTTTAAAAAGGAAAATACAACCGTTAATGTTGCACAGGCACAGGCACACACATGCATGAATCTAGAGTCAACCTGTTGGTAAAAAGCACAGATATGAATGACAAGGAACTCTCTATAGATATCCTATCTTTATTTAGAAAAGAGATGAGGTTAACTAAACAAAATCTAGGTATATACACATGGTATCATAAAAAAATGACAAGTAGCCAATGGTTATCCTTAACCCTAAGTTCATCTTGCTAAATATTTTATTACATTTGATATCTTCCTTCTTAACTTCAAATCATTCAGAAAAACATAATCATCCTAAAGCCAAACAGTATTTGATGTGGTGCAACAACATATAAAAAAAATGGACAACTTTGGGTGAATGGAAATAAGACCTAAGTCATAAAAAATGTGATGCAAGTAATTTATTGTTTCAAACGAAAGTGCAATAATTCAAACAACATATAAGCTAAAATTTTGTTGTATACCAAACATAGAAGTATGTCCCTAGCTTAATGATAGGACAGCTTAAACAATGCATACAACATTGCTGCTCTACTTTAGACTTCAGAGAAATAGAACTGACTAACATGCATATCTTTTCTATTCACTTTTACTGCCATATTTTTACCAACAAACACATTACTTGTCAATGATGAGAGTCTGCAGATACTAAATAACATAGCTAGTTACAATATTGCAAAAATATCCCCTTCTTTCTTCAACAGAAAAATTTAAAAGTTATTCTATGAGTAGGATAGATAAAGGAGGATATAAAAATGAAACTTTCAGAAAGCCAAGAACAAAAAAATAATACAATCAAACCCTCAATCTCTCAGTCAATTCATAGTAAAAGGAAACTTCAAGAGCTAAGCCAAGTGAACACTTTCATTTTCACCCCAAATTAAATGTAAATTTGAAATTTAATTTTTAAAAATCCTAGCATCCTCTTAAACTTACATACACCCAGATCCAGAAAGCATAGAGCATAGCAACAAAGTTTTGCGTTTATTATTACCACTAACCTCTAATATCAATCAATCATAAAAAGATCCTCAAGACTAGAAGGACAAAGCAAAACCCTTCCTCCCCAGTCCTCACGAATATCAAACAGTGCATACCATTGTATATATCTAACAGTGAACCTTTTACCAAAATTGTCTTTCCTTCAATAGTTTCATAATTGGCATACAGTAAAGAAACAAGAGGAAAGACCCAAGAAAAAGTGGGAGAGGTTTATAAACTATCTTCAAAACACGTTCTTGGGACAACATAAAAAGCTGCCACCCCAGAATCAAATTTCAACTTTCAGTACCCAAAGCAAGTAAAAAATAAAAAAATTTATATTCCAAATTTCACAAAGGAACAAGTCAAAATTTACCAAAAAAACTAAAATTATAAAAACATTTATGTAGCAAGAAATTCAAAACAAAACCAAAAAATCGGCACTCCAAACTCCAGGAAAAAAAGAGTGCTTTAAGTTGAAGTGTCACCCAAAACTTCAAAACAAACCCACATCACAGTATAACAGTTAAACGAGAACGAATCACTCAAAAGAGTGAAACAATTAAAACAACAACAACCAAATCGTCACCAATAAAATAATAACAAAAATGAAAAATCAAAGAACCACGTGAATCAACTAACCTCCTTCTCGAGGCTTGAAACTCTCTCAACCAAAACTTCACGATCCAAGTTCCCCCCATTCTCAACAAAGGCGACACCTTTCCCCTTCGCACCAGTCCCATCGCCCGAATTCGGACCCAAATCTCGGTCCGAAACCGACCCGGTTCTTTTGGTCGGAGTGAGGGACCAACCCGACCAAACCCTCTGCGGAGTAAACATCCCCACCACCGGTTTCTCCACTCGAAAACAACAAAACCCGAAACTTCAAGTCCCGAATTCGACCTCACCCAAATGCCCCCATCCCGAAAATTCGAGACCGCCAAAAAACAAAAACCCGAAATCGAAATCCCTAGAAAAAAAGAAGAAGAAGAAGAAGAAGTAGAAACCCTAGCCTCCGGACGCGACCGCAGTTCCCAAATTCCGGCGAATTGCGGATTTGAAGTCCGATAACGTCTCCAAAATTCTCAAACGGTTCTCTCAGTTTCTCTCTCTACTTCTTTCTCTCTCTCTCTTTTCTTTTTTGTGTATGTGCTTTTTGCACGGATCGCTCACGTTCTTTGATTTTTATTTTAATGGTTTCATTTTTGGGTCGGGAGTTGAAAGTACGTAAATGCCCGTGTTACTATCATGGTTATGCATCGTACGCAAGGGTAATATGAAGATTTCGGATGGATTTTTTTGTTTTGAACGTGGGTTCTCGTGTATGTGTGCTGGTGTTACAACATTGCCCATGGTTGGTGCCGTTGGGGAAACAAAGAAAGGGGACTGGGGCTTGGGGGTATTTTAGTAAAATGAGTGGTTATTGGGTTTGAGAGAATCTATGGCATTTGATATGGAATTGGGAATGCCACGGTGTGTAAGAGCTGTTATTAACTTGTGAGTTGGAAAAGAGGCACAATGAATGGAATGGCCAATTGGAGTTTCAAGATAAGCATTGCTTTTGTCCCTTTAGGCTTGCTTGCATGCATCACACTTAATCATTGTTCTCAACTCAACCAATGTTTATTACTCTCTACTACTTATTCTCTCTCTCTCTCATGTCTTAACAAACTTTATGAATAAAAATCTATGACCGTTTTCTGTCGTTTGTGGTTTGTAAAACATAGGAATAAAAGAAGAGGGGGACTTTGGGAAATGGAAGCCATCAATAAGGACTTTGGCCAATGCTCAAGGAGAACAACCAATGAATAAAGATAAGTAATAACTACTATTTAATGGATAATGATGTACTCAAACTAAATATTAAAACATAAATCAGTACTCCCTTAAGCCACCGTATGATACTATACCATCTTTGACCTAATATAGAAAGCATTTGATTTTGGATTCATGGTTATATTAGTCTTTTGATTCATGGATTATATTAGTCTTTTTCTTTTTGGTACTTGAGTTATGATATTCTTATTTTTATTTATTTTTATTTTTATTTTTATTTTGGATTGATACAGGAAAAAAAAACTAAAAAAAGCTACAATTTAACAAAGGTAACCTTGTCAGCTAAGAAAAGCAAAAGGATACGATATATGATGCACTAACACTTCAAAAATTTTAATGAGTCGTGTTTGATACTTTTTGACACTCTCCAATACTCCGACACTCCAACACGCGTTGAAGAGACTCCAAAAAGAATTCAAAGATTGCATTGTATTGCATTTTTGTTTTAATTATTAGATTTGTTGAATTACAATTGCCATTTTATTGAGTTTAATATAAATATTTATAATATTTTATGTTTCTATGCAATATTGGCATGTCAAAATTTAATATTTTTTAAAATTAACATATCAAAATATCATATCTTATATATTTCATGTCGGTACAAGGTCATATGATATACGATGAGGAAGGAAACACTACCTTTTGTCTTTTGATAACGGTGCCTTGTAGCTTGAGTATGGAATAGATGGAATAGGATAGGTGAAAATGCAAATGGGAAGCTTACACTAAAAAGACTATGATTGGTGCTAAATTTATTTACCGATAAAAATGCATAATTTCGAGGCTTTTTATGATGATGAAGGATTAGTTATTTAGATAAAAAACAAAATCTTTACTTTATAAAAGAATTAACTCATAATGTAGTTTTCTTTTTGTCAAATGTTACTAATAATAGACAATATCATAATATAATATGATTATTATTATTATTATTATTATTATTATTATTATTATTCCTATTATGTTGATTTTGATTATACCCGACATCATGAATTTCACTATTTGTGTATTTATTTTACCGAGGAGAAAATGCACAAAGACGCTTTAACTTTATTTAATACACACTTACACAGAAACGATGTCATTGTCAACATTTTGCTAGCTGGTGTTTCTTAATGTGCAGCTGACTTCTTTTCTACGACTAATTCATTAATTTGTTAATAGAATCTGGACGTACGTAAGACTTGCACTGTCTCATTAGTTTTTTCATGACATCACTAATTATAGGAAAAGTTTATGTCGCACATGAAAAATGAGCTTCATATGTTATGAATGTTTTCCAAAAAATAAAAAAAAGGTAACTTCCATCTTATCCCTTTAATTTTGGTTCATGTGCAAGAATGAATGGATTCACTAATCATATCATGTGATGAAATTTTGTTATTAAATGACAAATAAACAATCAAAAATTTAATGACAGAACTCATAAATATTTAAATTAATTATTAATTATTGACATGTCATGGGATAATTAAAATTATTATATGATATGAGGATTTGGATTCTATCATATAAAAAGGTGATTACGTGGTCATGTTATTTGATTACAATCACTCATTTAAAAATTATATATTTTTTCTGTCTCTTATCTCATCATCAATGAGTGATTGTGATCAAATAACGTAATCAAATAACGTGATCAAATAATCACTTTTTCACATGAGAGAGGATCCAAATCCATGACATGATCATATAAAATCAAATATGATAACATAGTTAAACATTCCATTGGCTCGCCGCTTTTTAAAAGAAACCTATGCAAATGTAAAAAGGATTCTCTTGAAATGAGATGTTTGGTTTAGGGTGATTTAGTGAGAAAGCTATCCATCTAATTTGCATGGGTTTTTAAATTTTGGAACGGAATGATAGGTTTATTTACTGTTGAGAAAGCGTTTTGAGAGGTGGGTTTTTGTTAAAAAGCTGGGTAATCTCACTGTTCACTCAAATTTTGCACTATATATTACCTCCAACCAAACATACATTTCCTAAAAGTTACCTAATTTTTGCAGTAAAGTTTTTCCCCACCAAACTACTTTTTTTAACATTTTCCTATCTATCTCACTTTATCTCACTTTCTTACCATTTTCCTATCAATTCTATTTTCCTAGTATTCAAAAAATTTCTCCTCAACCAAACGCCCCTTAAAGGTTTTGTCTCTAGTTATTGCAATTCACTCCCTCTCTTACCAATTTAACAGCTTTATGAGAAATTAAGGGAAAACTTTAAAAATCTCCATACAAGTTTTTTCTAGAATCACTTATCTCATTATAAAAAATTTGAATCATTTACTCTCTTATTTAAAGTTTCTTTATCAGTTACCCCTTAACTTAATTTTTCATTCAAAAATAAAGTTAACGAATTAATATTTTTGAAAAATACCTTACTATTCTTAAAATAATACAAAAAAATATAGAGAACCCTTGATATCTCGTGGCTGCGACTTGCTTCGCCTTGTCTTCATATGATGTGTCGCAGCCTTTTTCTTTTATCACTGTAGAGAAAGAGAGAGAACGCAAAGCTTGTTACACAGCTCCGAAATAGGAGGAGGAGAAAAAATTGTAAGCGTTGTTGTGTAAGATTTCGTAGATCTAGGTATTATCTCTCTTTGTCTGAAGCTTGTGATTCTGTGATTTCTGTCCTTTGTGTTTATATTTTTGACGACTTTTTGACTTCTTTCTCTCCAAACACCAACTCTCGCACAACATAACCCACCATTCAAGGTGAACTAGATTCTTTTCGTGTGTTTTTTTATGGTGAATGCTTATTTTGGATTTATTTTGTGTGTTGAATTTATGGTTATTTCCAAGTTGAAATTTTTCGATGTTACTTTTGTTAAGGGTCAAGAACCGGAATCTTTTGCACAATATAATTTTTTTGTTTTAAGGGTAGTTTTGGTAATTTTTTAAAAAAATTAACTATGTTAACTTTAGTTTTGGATGAAAAATTAAGTTAGTGGAGTAAGTAATAAAAAAACTTTAAATAGAGATGTAAATGATTGAAAATTTCAAGAATGGGATAAGTAATTCTAAGGAAACTTACAGGGACTTTTTGAAGATTTCCCAAAAATTAATTGGACTATGATAGAGACACTTTAGGAACATTTGTTTCAAAATATCCTTTCACAATAGGTGTAATTCTATTAGCAACACATGTTGAGTAGCTCACGAGAAAATCTGAGTTCAATTTTCACTAAATACATCTTTGAGAACGGACAAAGAGCTTTAATTGTGATTAGGCCCTAATTTGAAATTAGTTCCATAGTCAGCACAAAAAATTGAAGCTTACGGGAATAAAGATAACGATGATCGGTATAAAAAAAACCTTTCACATCAAAATCTTCACTGTCAATTTTAAAAGTACGATGTTATAAAATAAAATAAAAAAGTACGACACACAGTCTTTATTTGTTTAAGGGAAAAAAGTTTCCGATGTTACTTTAGATAACTTTATCTAATGTTCATCGAAACGACGTCATTTTGAGGTTGAAAAATTAAAAAATTAGAGCGATAAAGACTATTATATTATAACCCTGAAATAAATTAAAATTACACAAATACCATGATTTTCGTCCCAAAACGACGTCGTTTTGATGAATATTAGATAAAGTTATCTAAAGTAACATAAGAAAAAACAAACCCTTTGTTTAAATACAATTACATTTTAAGGCAAGTGTCATCAACAGTCCGATGAAAGCATCACAATAAAATATTTAAGCAAAAATAATGCGTTAATTTAATAAATTATTAAATTATGTAGAACAAAAATAAGTTAAAGAATAAATTTAGAAACTAAAAGACCATTAAAGGATGCATTTAAAAAAACTTTAAAAATATTTGATATTTTTTTCTTCAAGTACTTAGAAAAGGTCATACTTTGTTAAGGGCCTATTTGGTGTGACGTATAAGATTAGTATAAGCTTATATTATGCGATATGACATTTTTGATTGTTTGGTGTGACCATGTATAGTATAAGTTTATACTGCAGGACCCCTTAAGACATCAAAACGATGTATAACTTAATCTGACCTAAGGGGGAGGAATCAGGCCTGATAAGGGATTGATGTATTAATATTGCTTACAAGTATAATTTTCAAGAACTAATATACCATTTCAATATTAATATATTACAATAATTTTTTTAATATATTAATTTTTAAAATATTAGAAGATATTATCTTATACAATACCATACCAAACACTGAATACTATACTAAACGCTAAATAACATTAAAATTTAATCAGATCTTATACTATTAGGCTTTATCCAATACTATGCATCAAATATGCCCTAATGATATGCATGTATTATATCCTTGGACCTTGGTAACTCACTTTTAGAACTATCGTTAATTAACGACACTTTTTCTTTATGTGTTCGCACTTTTTTTTTTTAATATTATAAAGTTTGAAAGAAAAACAGGCTAGCGTTTCAAAATCACGAGATTGCATGAGTATCCATCCGATTGATATATATAAAATATTTAAAAAAAAAAATTGGACTCTTTACTATGAAATTCGATCACTGTATATTTCAGTGAAGACTTAATTTTATAATTGTCTTAACAAAACAATACATATTTGGAAAAAGATATTGTAACAACCAACTAGTGTTACTACAAATATTACTAAAATCAATTTCACTGTTAAATCGATTATGTTAATCTAACGGTTATATTTATTTCTCTCTTTGTATAATTATGATTTCTCATATTTAATACTTTATATTTATTTTTACTTTTGTATGGTTATGATTTTCCATATTTAATGGGAAATCATAACCATACAAAGATAGAAATAAATATAACCGTTGAATCAACATAATCGATTTAACGATAAAATTGATTTGTAGTAACATTGATAATAACACTAGTTAGTTGTTACAATATCTTATCCCTGTATAATTATCACCGTAGATAGATAAAGAAAAAAAATAGCAGCTCCTAGTCGTACGAGACCACGATCATTGTGACAGTGAGAGTGTTCGGGCAGCATTTATAGGTAGCTTCGCACTCCTTTCGGATAACAAAAATCTCATTTTCAATGTAACTTTCCTATAGGATAAAATACTTGCAGCGTTGCAAGCATACAACTACAGACACACTTGTGGTCGTGAGTATACCTAGACATTTTTTGTTGTTGGGTACATTGTATATCTAGACATTAGGATAGTGCAATTATTCCATGTAAGCTTGCATGGCCCACAAGCTAATGGAGCAGCAATAAACAGCATCCTAATTATACCATGGCAATGTGTCTAACATAGATCTAATGTTTTCTATTTCGAGCTTTCACACGAAACACAATTATTTAGTGACAACTTCACTAGCAGCTCATGGTGATGGTTTTCATAATTAAAGCAACAAAAAATGGGGCAAAGAATAAATTTTTTTTTTTTGATAACAGGGCAAAGAATAATTTAACCATCCAAAATTTGAAGACCACTGGAAGAAAAAACATATGTTACAAATGAGAATGCATGGCCAAAATCTGTCTGGAGAGGCGACAATTCGCACTCTTCCCTGCGACAGGTGAATACATACAAACATCCAAAATTTCAGAAGAACGAAGAGACCCATTACACTATTCCAAGATGAGAAAATAATACAGAAAGAAGCATCGCAACAATCTACAAAAGTTTTATTTTCACCGGGTCGCTAAATAGAGAATTTGCATGCACACAAAATTGAGATGATCCACATTTGCATCTTTTATATCCACACCTGTTCTCTCCTATATTCCCTTACAATTACAGGAACACTTGTGGGGGGGACCTGCCAAAGTTAAATAGTTAAATTTAACTATAAACAATCATGACAAAGAATGAAAAATATAAAAGGACAACGCACCTTAAGAGTTAAGACTACTAAAAAATGCATTATTTTATCACGGAACTAGAGGGCTTATACTGTTATGAGAATTTACCTAGTTTAGATTCTTGTCGTCCATTATTTTAGTGTTCCTCTTTCATTTATTCAATATTTCTTTTTTTAATATTTAGGGGGGAGAGAGCAAGTAAAAATTGTTTTTATTTATTTATTGTTTTATTTTATCGTTTTGGATTTTTCTCACTCCAAACTGCTTATCTTAAACCTGCTTCAGAGTCATTCTCCGAAAAATAGTGAGACAGAATCCATGCACGAGGGTGAACAGAACAAGGTGCACTGTAGGTATCTACTTCTAGCAGCAAATTGATAAATCTTCTTTAAATTCCAGCACTTACCATGCCATAATCTGTGACTATGATTGAAACATAATCTGAAGGTGTTGCATCATAGCTGGCATCAAATTACAGAACTGAAAGTCAGAGTAAGAAAATAACAATTTTGATGTTGTATTATGTAAATATAAATGCCTTACATCAGATTTAGAAGTTGCAGATTTTCAGTATTGGCCCAAGTATCCAAGTGGCTGACATCCTCTCTGCCCGGAACCTTTGAAATGACATCAGGATCACCTGTAATGTAAGACAATCATAGAAACATCAGCCTTCTTCCAGACAGAAGGCAAAAAGCCCAATACAATCCTCATCATCTGTCACTGTTCACATACCAAGTTCATTTGAGCATATTGAATCAAGTTGTACCCTTTCATGAAATTTATAAGCCTCACAACATACTAAAACAGGGACACAGAACGCATGAGCAACCATTGCAACACATGCAGTCCCAACTCCTGAATAAACTGTTCCATTAGACAACACTGATGAAGCACCCAGAAAAACTCGAGTAACTTCAGGCATTATGTAGGAAACAGCATTTATATGAGTGTACGTACAGCTAAGACCTTTCTCCACCAGCCTACGAAGCATAAGCTTCCCTCTAAGCTTTGGTCGAGAGTCTACTACTACAACTCGAAACTGTTTCCCTAACTCATGTGCATGTAACAGTATCATTTCAACTGCCGATGATGACCCATAAGTAAGAAGAACATCACCATCTCTTATTTTTGTGACAGCGTTCTTGACTATGACCTTGTTGGCAAGTATAATCTTCTCATTTATAAAACGCTCAATATCTGACTGAAGAGAAGTTCTTGATTCTGACTCAGACAGCATCAGAGGTAGCTTGGCAATTCGACTTTTAAGAAATCTAATTGCATTTCCCATGCTGATAGAAAGAGGTCGGCACTCAATAAGGAATGAAACATAGCTACTTATTTTTGCTGTTAAGTCTCTCACAAGAGTCTTCTCAGGAGGAACTATGTAGTCTTTGATGGCCTCTTGAAATGCTTGAAGCATGGCGATACAACGAGCATTGCCACCACATATATCTCCAGACAGATACTGCAAACCTACCTGACAATTAACATAAAGACCACTAGGGTTAGAGGAAGATATATGCAAAAGGGCCTAATATACAAAACAAATTGAACCAGGTCTCTATCACTAACCAATCCAGTATCCACGCCAACACCACAAATAAATTTTAATCACAATTTGGATAATAGCACCTCCAAGCATACAATAGGTGCATAGATACAATTTATTTTCAATTAGGATGTCATTTAGGACGAACTTCTTAACTTTAAGACAGTATATAGTAAGCAAGACAATACAGTGCGATATAATAATATATTAGAAAAGGCATGAAATAATTTTGATACATATAAGGACTGAAACAAACTTAAGCTCTGTAACTCCTCATGTCATTCCATTTTCTTCATCTTGAACATGACATCCTAATAAACAAACATTGCAACCAGAAGATTAACAATTTTCACACTTGTTGAGATGAACCATGGAACAGATAATTGCTTTAAGAATTAAGCATTTTGCTTTTAACATTCTATTGCACTAAATCTAGTGATACTTGGTGTGCTTCACTTTCCCTTCCCCCTTATCTCCAGTTGAGGTAGAGAGTGTGCCTCTATCATTTACATTATCAACTACAAAGTATAATAATTAAGGATTTAAATTTGATCGACAGTCAAAGAGTTTTAAAATCCAGCAAACCATGTGATGTTACCTATCTAAAAGACTGCTAAAAACTTTAACTGCAAGTTATATTCCTAAATTATTCCAATGATTTGCCAATTTGAACCACTTTGATCCCTCGCAGTGGATCAAATTTAAACTCAAATAGTGAAGAGATTTCAACTAACCAGCATATCTAAAAATCTAAAATCCCATTATTACCAATATAGCTAATCAACCAATTACATGCACAAGATGTATCCCTTGTGATGCATCATCATGCAAAATTCCAACCATCACATTGCGCATTAACTTCGCATGTGTTTGATAAAACTAAAAATTTGAGCAATAAATTTTTATTGATGTAAATCTGATATGTGTAAAGAGACTTAAGTGCTGAAAATGTATTAAATGAAACTACTAGTACTTAATATAGTAAACAAGGCTACAGAAAAAGGAACCATTTCTGTTTAATGATATAAATACGGAAAGTATTGCTGCTGAATATGTTAAATGACTTCTTATATGCTGAATGTTTTCAGCACTTTCTCCCTCAACTGCATTAAACAAACAACACTACATCAATTTAGTGCTGAATCTTTTTATTTTCAAGTTACAACAAAGAATTGATTTTTCATACAGGTCCTTAGTTGAGTTTACAAAATCATTAGTCAAGACAAAGAGGTTTTAAGGGCAAGGAACCCCACTTACCCTGTGGTACTATCTAATTGTTGAGTTGTGAGCATGAAGCAAGAACATAACATATTATGAAATGATAAATTCTGACCACATAAGAACTTTGGATTGTGATAAGAACCTTGGGATGCACCACCCCAAAAGCTAGCTCAAAAGATGGGAGTGCCCAAGGCCTTATAAACCCCACATTAGTTGCCATACAACCAATGTGGGACTCCAAGTCTCATACCTTGCAAATGGATCCTAACAAATTGTAACAAGATGATATAATGGGATAACATATCCACCTTATAAACTGCAGGATGCAAAGGATCAAGCTGGAAAAACTTTGCCTCGAGATCTGGAAGCTGACTTCCATGTTCATACTGTGGCAAATGTCTGAACAGTTCAACTCTGTTCCTAGCTTCAGTTTGTTTTACAACAGCACGCCGCTTAGCTTTCTCCACTCTGCTCTTGTCATCATATTGCATCCGTGGTTGAGGAACATCTTTCTTTCTATCCTTTTCTGAAGGACGATCACCTCCCTTCTTCTCAGAGGCTGAAACTGAAGCATTATCAACTTTTTGAGGGGGCTTTGCAGCTTTAGCTGGTTTTGCAGTCACTGAAGTTACAGTTCCAGATGCCTTATCTCCTTCAGCTAGCAACACATTACACAAAAAACACATACTAATTAGCAATGTCAAAATGAATTATATCAAAGAAGATTCTTGAAAACCTGTCATAAATTCCCAATTTAGGCGTCCTAAGATCATTATAAAAAAAAATTTGAGTCCTTGCACAGTAGGTCCAAAGATGAAACTAGGTCCAAAATAACAAAAATGTAGTATTTTCAATGGGATAACTGTAAGACAGACAGACAGACAAATAAGCATATGTTTCAATTCACTTATTTTGCTTGCAGAGAAATTTAAAATCAAAATGCTCAAGAGAGATTTTGTTGAAAAGTTTTTATGCATACAATAATCAAGACCATCATTGCACTAATTCTAATCAAACAAGGTCATGCTAAATCCTACTACACACCTTTTACAGCAGCCTTTGCAGCTCGTTGAGCTTCTTGAAGAGCACGTCTTTCAGCTTTTGAGGTCTTCTCTTTCATTTGTTTTGAGTTTGTAGTATGGTGTTTCACTTCCACTGCTGATCCTCCTCCTCTGTCTGCTTTCTCTCTTTCTAATGGGGATTAGGGAAGGAGAAAAGGGTAAAGAAAATGCTTTGATTCCTAAACCATGCCAAATCAAAACTTCTGATTGTCCAAGATTCCTTCAAAAAGATACTACATGACCAGAAAGAAAATAAAGGAAGACCACAATCGATGAGAGCATCAAAATAAAGGAAGACCACAATCGATGAGAACATCTTGTGATGACATCCACATTCATTTACAACAAGCAAGTCAGTCGACAATTATTCCTCATATGTTCTGACTGACCATATTATTGAAATAAACACTCGGAAACAAAAATAATCAAAAGGCAACTAATATAGGATGTAGCAAAAGACACATTCAATTTTCAATATATTGAAAAAAAATGTTCCTTCTCTAGTATATATCTGAGCATAAGGTCAAAAAAGAAGATTCAACAAAAATAGTTGGATGGTGATTCAGATGGCACCAAATTAGGTGGGAATTGTGAGTTTTATTAAAATAACAGGGACATAATTTGAGCCCTTGGCTACTTCTGGAAAGTAGCCATATGGCATAGGTAACATCGGGTACTACTATGGCTTTGGTATGTTTTATATAATTGGTTCTTTATATGGTATCAAAGCCTCCGTGTCACGGTTTCGATCCTCACCGCCCTCCACTTTCTCTTGTGGAATTTCTTAGCACAAGTACATGGGCCTATGCATTATCCACTCTTCATGCCCAGTGGGCTCTCGTGTGAAGGAGGCGTGCTAGAGAAGTATATAAACTATTGATGTAACCTCACCCAACAACTTAAGTTTTTGGGTTGAATTGGTTCTGTATAGTATGCATCCAGTGCTTGAATCTCTTATTCTTTGTACCCTTATATTTTTGGGTTTAATTTGGACATGACGTAAATCCAATTTCACTACAAAAGCCACATCTTTAAACTATTTACTTTTAAATAAAATAAATTTAATTTGCGAACCATTTTAGATTTAGATAGCAAGGAATATGCATCTTATGAAATGAGTTATTTCTCTGTCCCATTTGCCTATTTTTCGGTTTTGTAAGTATAAAGTATGTAATTCATGGATATAAAACTATACTTATATTAAAACTTTTTTTGTTGCTTTTTTCTTTTTATCTTGGAGACTTTATTAAGAAGAGTAACCATAGTGCTACATGTGTGTGCTTTTCTAGGGAAAAATATTACATTCTACTTTTTTAATTTAGATGTTACAATTGTTCATTATGTTTAATTAATCTAATGTTACATTATTTCATATCCAAGATTTTTCAAAAAATCAATATATTCTGTTTCCCTAACTACATCATACTTACGCCCTAACATAGATCAGTGCTACCACGGATTGACTAATGAAGAGTCGTTATTTTACTAAGATGGAGAGGTGAAAACGTAAAGGTGATGAGAGACAGCAGCTAGAAAATAAAAAGCTTAAAGGCTTCATCCTTACACGTCTGAGGATGACTGTGACTCAGATTCTTAAGTAGAGACACAATATAGATTGGAATTGGCATAAAAGAAAATGGAAAGAATAAGAATTCTGGCCGGTGAAATTGGCAATTCAGCTTGCAGTATGTTGTAGCAAAGGACATAATGCTCTTTCCAATTTTAGAATCAATTCATTGAAGTGCAGGAAAAATAAATTCTTATTCTAATTTTCCCCGTTTTCATTTGTAACAAGCAAAGCAATAGCATTGCAAGGGCTAGAAATGATATGAATGACTAAAAAATTAAAATAATTCAGGGAAGTATTCAGGCCAACATACATAATGTTTCAACCAGTGAGGCTAAAACATGGTTGTGTTACAGTGTTAATCATAGAAGATAATCAATGTAGAAACAGAAAATCTCTGATTTTATCTGATGCGGGGTTAAAAAAAGCTCTTGCCAAATTTCTTAAAATTTTAAGCAGCCATACCAACTTCAAAGTGAAGAAGGAAAAAAAGCTATTTCGTGGAACTGCAAAACTCATTCTCATTAACTGAAGTATCTGATACATGACACAGCTATATATACATCATGCTGATATGGCAGCAAGCTATTGGGCCAAACAGAAAATAAAGAAACCTAACTGAGAAAGCTAACGGAAAGCTAACAGCTGTGCTAACAACTATACAACAGACTATAACCAATTTAGCTTCACGTAAATATTAACTAACAGAAGTTAACACTAACAGAACTTGACTAACGGAGCTTGATACTGTAATAGCCCCCCCTCAAGTTGGGAGATAAGCATCAAGCAAACCCAACTAGGAAATCACTTCCGAAAAGGAACAGGATGGAGGGATTTTGTTATAACATCAGCTAGTTGATGATGAGTGGAGATTGGCAGTAAACGAAGGATGCCTGAATTGATTTTTTCTCTTGTGATATGACAATCAATTTTATATGCTTACTATGCTCATGGAAGCTGGGGTTATGGGAAAGATAGACCTCAGCTCGATTGTCACAATATACAGAAACCAGTTGAGTGAAAGGGATGTGTAGATCCTCGAACAAGTAGGCAAGCCACTGGATTTCACAAGTTACACTAGCTAGAGCTCTATACTCAGCCTTGGAAGATGATCTAGACATTGTGTTCAGGCCATGTAAAGTCTTACCTAGCCAGTTCGAATTTTGTGGATCTTGCTAGAAGTGAACGCATCTCTCAAGCAAATACATGTGGAGCAAGATTGAAGGAAGGCAGCCACATCAATCGAAGTTTATTGACACTAGCATCAGTCATCAGGAAGCTAAGTGGTGCAAAATGTGGTCATATACCATATAGAGATTCAAAACTGACACGAATATTGCAGTCTTCACTTGGGGGGAATGCTCGAACAGCGATTATATGCACCATAAGTCCGTCGTTAAGTCACATGGAGTAAACAAGAAATACACTAACCTTTGCTACCAGTTGAAAGGAAGCCGTTAATACTGCCCGAGTGAATATGGTTGTTTTGGATAAGACCCTAGTAAGACAGTTGCAAAAGGAAGTTGCCAGGCTTGAAGGGGAGTTAAGAAGCCCTGAACTTTCTTCAGATTCATTTCTAAGGTCGTTGCTAGCTGAAAAGAGTTGAAAATTCAGCAGATGGAAAGGGATTATAGAGGATCTGAGGCGACAGAAAGACCTTGCACAATCTCAACTTGAACTAGACTAATGGAGCTTGATACTGTAATAAAACCTAAAGTAATTACAAATATACTAACAACAAAATGAAACTAATTTGTAAAGTCAATAAAATCGTGAAAAGTATATAGAAAGAATAAAAGAATTTATTTGCACTACATCTCTTAAAAGGTAATGCAAAGATATTTAGAATAAAACAAGACCTTCAGCAGCTTCACTTTAGAAATGCAGTGGATTTTATTAAATCAATGAGTATGAAAAAAGCATGTAAAGCCATCATGGCCCTTGTTTGACAAGCACATTATGTCATTAAAAACAAATGATGTGTTCCACAAAGGAACTCCTGCAATAGTCCAAAAGTTAACTAGCAATAATAAATGTGGTTATGGTGAACAAGAACGCAGCATTCATGCCAATTTCAAGTTATTAAATACAAATTTCATAAAGAAGCATCCAATATTTCTGCCATGCATCATCAAAGTCAAACATGAAAGCATCAATTATATTGTAACTGATAAAGCATTAAAAGTTTTAAATAGACAAAAGTTGCATTCTGTTGAACAGAATGGCACATGGGAACCTATCAAGCTTAATCTTGAACCTCAAAGGGTAAATTCACTAACAGAAATAGCCAAGATACACATAAATGTAACAATAAACATTTATACCTTCCCATGTGCTGACACAAACCTCAATCAATCCTCCTCTTAAATTACAGTTTCTTTCTAGTCTCTACTTTCACACTACACTTAATGAAGTTCAAATTCAAAGCATATTAATTCTCCACTTCAAATAGATATCAACAAAAGAACCAAACGAAGCAAAACCTCACCGTGAATCGCAAGAGAAGCATTCACCACCGAAACCGTGGTCAATTCACTCGCCGGAACACTACTCGCCTTCACCGCCGTCAAGTCAAATCCGCCGCGAGGAAACGAGGATGCCACCTTTCCTCCTCCGCCACCGCGACCGGGCGACGCAGCAGCTCCGTCGACGGAGAAATCTCCGTCACCGACGACGAACCTGCTCGAGTAGGAAGACGGCGACGGTGACATCGGAGCAGCGAAGAACTCCGACGAGCAGTTATAATTCCCGGAGGTGGCGACGGATTCCTCGCCGGAAGGGGAAGCCACGGCGTGGCGAGCAACGAGGTGGAGATTTTCCGATAAGTGACGCGGTGGCGGGATCATGACCAACGGCGAGGGAGAGTCGAAGGATATCGGGTCGGGTGGACCCGATTTAGAACGGTCGGGTGAGGCGAAGAACCCGACTTTGCGGACCTTAGGGTCAGTGACGGCGCGTGGAGCTCGGCGAGCATCCATGATTGGTGATGGAGGTTAAGGTTAGGGTTTAATGTTAAAAGAGTATTGAAGATGGAAGCATGTTTGGGTGACAGGAAAATAGAGAAAGAAAGGGTTTCTATTGTTTTCTCGGGAAAAAAATTTAGTGAGAGTGAGTTCAAAGCACGTAGTAACAGCCAAATGATGAAAAGAACAAAAAATGAAAAATGAAAAATGAAAATTGTTTGTCGTTTTCCCAAGTACAGTCTCACACTCTCACTCACTCAATCACTTCAGCTACTTTTGTTTGATCAACGTTATCGTTATTTTTCAAAGACGCAAATGCGGTTGTTTTTCCCACACTTTTTTTCTTTTCATATTGTGGATTGCTTATTCTTTTTACAAAATTGTAAACATTTTTTACCCCTCAAATTATTTTATGATAAAAAAAATTAGGACTTTCATCTTCTCATATTATATTATATGAGAAGTATTTTATCATGTTATAACTTAATTAATGATGAATCTTATATTTATTCTAAAAAAAATTACATACAAATTGAAGGAATAATTGTTATATTAAGAAAAATATAAATCTCATGTTATATGACAAATTAATCATCATTATGTTAAGAAAAAAATAAATTATATGATATTCAAAAAATAAAAAAAATACATTATTCAATAAATTAATCGTATCCTTTCTTAAAATGACAACCTTTTTTTTTATGACAAATGGATTTCTCTTTATAAGAATGACCAAGCATACTTATAAACATTAAAGTTGCAGGAAAAATTTGATAAAATCACAAAAGAGTTTTCCGTTGCCGGGACTTGAACCCGGGTCTTTCGGGTGAGAGCCGAATATCCTGACCAACTAGACTACAACGGAGATATGACTTTTATTCTTTTAACATAAATATGGTTTATCTCACTTACTTCTTTGTTTGAAATCTAGGTAATAATGCATTATTAATTAATAAAATATAACAATTGGTTATTGCACTAGTTGTATCTTTATTTTCTTTGAAAAAAAATTTGTTGATTTATTAATTAATAAGTACATGTTATTATATCATGGTACATAAAATGTTTGCAGATGAAAATCCCAAACTTATTTGTCACTATGGGTGTGCATAACAATCTTCCTGGAATGAGTTTTTTTTTTCTAATTTTTGTTCTTAGTAACAAAAATGGATGAGAATTGTGTTTGATAAAGCCATTTTATTTTTTTGTTCCCAGGATGAACCGGTCTTTTTGTGTGCTGGGGAACAAAAAAAAAGAATTAAAAAATTTCTGATTCTTTGTTCCTGGGCACAAAAAGAGAATCAATTTTCTCTCACACTCTCACGACTCCGTACCTACTCACACACCAACACCGAACCATCATTGCTTTCAACTATATCATCAGACGACAAATCCCTCCCTTCACACAGAAGTTGCAAATTTTTGAATTTTTGAAATTGGGGTTAGGGCTCTTAAAGGATTACACGTGAAACAAATTTATTCATCTTATTATAGTGCAGTCCGTTGAAATAAAAATAATTTAATATAGTGAATTATTTTATAGCTCGACCTTGGATCTGGAAAAGTACTGTCTATCTTCGTAGGATTTTTATTTTTTATAGCTCACAAATTTTAAATCCATTCTAGAAAAAATTTAAACAACCATTTTATTTGTAACTCAGAAAACTTCTGTAAACCAATTATAGTGAAGTTTCTGTACAACAAATAGTTCATGTGAGTAACATTTTGGAAATTCAAAAACGGGAAAAAAATAAAAAAATAAAGAAGAAGACGAAGATAGAAAGAAAAAGGAAAAGGAAAAAATGTGTTATCAAACGTAATTATGATTCTCAGAACAAAAATAAAATATGTTAACAAACGTAATTCTGATTCTCAGAATTGTTTCAAGGCACAGAAATAGAAAAGAACCATTTCGTTTCAGAAACAGTGCCAAAAGATAGAATGATTGTCATGCGCAGCCTATATCATGAGCATTTGTGGCTTCCCGATGATAAGCAACCCAGAAGATTATATATACAGAAATGATATATATATACATATATAAAAAGAAAAGAAAATAATTGTATTTGTATACTATAATATAAGAATAAGATTTGCTTACCAAAAAAAAAAAAAAAACAAGATTATTTTTTTTGTCAGGCAGGTTCAAGAAAAGTCCGTGACGGAGGATCACCACCGATGGGCTAAGTGGATCAAATACACCAAGTGGGTTACTATATCTTAACTCAAAATCTTAAGGCATTGGACATGGGTGCTACACCTTAACCGAGTATCACAGGACCCAAGTATTCAACTCGCCTCCTAGCCAATTACCAGGCTAGCTCGAGCCCAACTCGCCTTTGATACCACTGTCAGGCGGATCCAAGGGAAGCCCGTGGGGGGGACCACCACCAAGGGCTAAGCTAAACTAGTCATAGCAAATGGGTCCGACACCACATCTCAACCCAAAATCTTAAGGCATTGGGTTCATGAGTCCTTCCACTTATATACTCTTCTCTTAGCCATTACCAATCAATGTGGGACTCATCACACTTGAATATCTCAACAATTTTCCCCTCAAGTGTGAAACCCAACATTAATATGCTTCCCCTCAACCGAGTACCATAGGACCTAAGTACTTAACCCGCCTCCCAGTCAATCACCAGCCTCAACCGAGTACCCCAGGGCCCAAGTACTCAATCCGCCTCCCAGTCAATCACCAGCCTCAACCGAGTACCCCAGGGCCTAAGTACTCAACCCGCCTCCCAGCCAATAACCAGGCTATCTTGAGCACAATCCGGCTCTGATATCAGAGTCAGGATGGTCCAAGGAAAGCCCGTGGTGAGGGACCACCACCAATGAGCTAAGTGGATCAAATACATCAAGTGGGTCTGACACCACATCTCAACCCAAAAATCTTAAGACATTGGGTTCATGGGTCCCTCCACTTATATATATTTCACTTAGCCCATTATCAACCAACGTGGACTTATCATACTTGAATACTCCAATATTTTTTAAGTTAATTTGTCTTTAAAGTAAACAAATAAAAACATATACATTCTTAATTTATTTTAAAGTGCATCGTGATCTTGAACTGAAAAAATTTAATAATAAATATAATTTTACTTACTAATTTTAAATATAAATTCAATATTAAGTTTTTTTTTTCTTAACGTACATAATATCACTGGTGGGCAATAATTAGTTCCCAATCACGATTTCTGGTTTGTTTGATCTTTAATCTGCCAGCCATTTCTCTTTCACTGTCACATGTTCGTACTTTCAAATTTTCAATATATTATTAAAAAACAAAGGATGTAATCAGCCCTTTACAATCAGATTGAAACGCAATTACAAGGGATATAATTTGGTAGTACACTCACTAGAGGAAAGGAATAAAACACGAAACATCTTGGGCAGAATAACACTACTGCTAGGACATGTAACATATAGTATAGCCCTCCCCAGCAAGTACACATCTTAAAAGAAGTTTCCCACACAAAAAAAAATTTAGGCTTTCTTTTGTAAGTTTTCGGAACAGGTAGGACTTATTTTTCGGAATAGGGCTGTATTTTTTATTTTATTTTTGAATTTTCTTAAGGTATCTTTTGTATTTTTTCGGTAGGACAATTGAAAACTAATTCTTTCAAAGCGTAAAGATCACTGAAGTGAATTTTACCTCTATTAATAAAAAAAATTCATAAACATAATCAAGAATTAAATTTATGTTAATATGTGTATGAGATCAAATTATTTACTAACTACGCCGGACTTTATTGGTTGCAACATGGCTATATTAGAAATGCCTTGGCTAGTTCAATACCTTATATAGTTTATTATAGAAAGTTTAAATCCTCGAATTATATTTCAGTATATAAAAGTGTACAGTATGTATTGACAAACTACAGTCTTCTTTATGGTTCAGTCATGATTGAGACGAAAGGGTTGCTTTTTTACGGTTTTAATTCTTCTTAAGGGAGTCCAATCAAAACCGTCAAAAGACGAGTCCTTTTGGTCAAACTTTGGCTTTGCTAATAATGTTAAAGGGGATTTTTATGATATCCTCTACATGGCTAGGGTTGATATTCCTACATTTTAAGGGTACGCAGGGGACGGTCAAAATCGTTTCATTGGCAGTCAAAGAATATTATATATATCATATGTGATCATTTGCATTTATTAGCCGAACCCAAGCTATATCTTTGCTCTAGTATTGTGTTTCTATATATATATATATATATATATATATATATATATATATATATAGTAGTTTAGCGTATATAAAAGTCATGTATATTTTCTTATTTAATTAATTATATAATTTAGTTTTCATTGGAGAGCATTTTTTATGTTCCATAACTCCCATTAATTAGGTGGTTTTTTTGTGAAAATAGAGAAAGTAAAAAGGGAAAGGGAAAAAATAACAAGAATAAAAAGAAAAAGAAAAAAATGTTCTTGTAAAAGACAATTTCGAGTTTTAGGTGCCCCGAACCTTAAAAATTATTCCGGTTTTCGCTGTGTGCTTTACATACGAATTACAATAAATATATTTGGGGTCGCGATATTTAACAAAAGAAAAGTTAAAATTGATAATAAAATGAACATATTGACAAGTAGGTTGCCTTTTTAGATTATAGTGGTAATTAAGTAAAACTCTACAAGACTCTATCTTTGATTAGGAGAAGAATTTTTGTGAGTCATGTAACTCCATCAATCTTTGACCATTAAAATCCAAATCCAAATACTGCATATGAGGATTGAAGTATACATGCAAGCACTATATTATTCTCTGCTAGTTAGTCTCTCATCAAGTCATGCTTGCACAATATTTTGAGGATTTGAAATCAATAGCAGAAGTTCAAGACAAGAATATACACTCGCCACTTAATAACATTCATTTCACTTTTTTCTAATTTTTTCAATGATTTGTCAATTATTTGATACGAGAACGACAAAGTTATTCCTACTAAATTTTAAATTTTATTTATTCAAATTTGTGATCAACACTTAGCATTTGATCCACATTCTTGGTAGTTATATATAAAAGTCATTTAAAAAAAAAATCAAGCATTTTAGTTATAAACTTTTTTTCAAAGTAAAAGGAATTGGGCAAGCAAGCATGCACTTGTTATGCATAGTTGATCATGAAACAAATTAGAAAGTGTTAATTGCAAAACAAATTAGTGCGTAGACTCTAAAAAGCAACATGTGGCTGGTAAGGTAGCTGGTGAATTAGGTAAAAAATGATAAAGTGGGTATAGCTAGGTATGCATGACAATATTCTTCATGTGGAAGAGACACAAAATTAAAAGATAGCTGAAGACAGGGATGGGTCATGAACAACAGCTAGCTTACATATACCAATGAGACACTGCTCTGTATATATATATATATATGAAATGAAACCGTACCAATTTCGAATTTTCTGATCAAGGACACTTTTGTCAGATTGATTTAATTAAGAACTTGATTTCTCCACAATATAATATTGGGTTCATTATAGCTCTGCTCATTAGCTTTGCAGTAAATATTTATATTTTTTATTTGTTTGTTGCAAAAGGCCCAGAGATAAGACGTACTGCACGGTGGATCTGCATGCCAATTGCCATGCACTCATGATGATCTTTCTCTCTCAATCTCTTTCTGAATTGGGTAGTAAATTGCAAAAACTACATCCAACCCAAATCAAATCGTCAAGGGTGATCTTTTTTGCAGTCTCTCTCAAACAGTCACTTTTCTAAATATTGCAGAATGCATGCCAGAACCTAAGGAAGTGACTTTTTCCAACAAGTGCAGTAATTAATAATCGAACACTTGAGCATATAGTATGCATCCTCATTTGCTATATGTTGTACCCTCTTAATTTATCTCTCCCTAGCTTAGCTCAGATCTCTCTTTCTATTTCATTTTTTTTTAAACATATCCTAATTAATTCTTTGAAACAAATAAGCTCTTTTCGATATTTTCACAGACTTTGACTTTTTGAACTGGCTATATATGAGATTATTTTGAAGTGTAGAGCGGGTTAAGAATACAGATTTTATGTCATTTACAAAGATGATACGTGTGGATCGAATCGAAACCCTTTTCTTTCCCCTATTGAACTATCGTACAGTAACTAAACTAGTAGCATTTGGTGTCAGATCTCTCGTTCTAACTCTTATTCTCATCTCTCAAGGTTATTATCACTGTGCTTTTCAACTGTTCTTGCGAGTAGTTTGTTCGCTTGAGGTTATATATATATTTACGTACTATTGCAGCTTTCATACTGAACATTATGCTGCTCATGTTCAAGAAAGTTCTTCTTGGAGGTAACTATATATATATATATATAACTTCAGTATCTTTATCTTTCAATATTTGTGTGTGTGTGTGTGTGTGTCTCTCTGAGTGTTTATGAACTTGAGCTTCTTTCATTGTTTCATGTGAAGTCTTAATCGCTCAAGCTAGACACTACCTCACTGTTTGTTGCATTGTACGTGTTATTTTTCACCGTGTATTCTATGTATGGATGTGGGTCTACCAGGGTACTTTTCTTTGGGAATTTGGCAACTTCAAACTCTCTCTTTTTTCTCATGTATGCAGTGTTAATGGATGAAATCAAAATGTTATTTCAGTATTTCGTGACATGACAGAGGAACCAAAGTTAATTATGAGAGGATTGTTATTCAGTCCCCCCCCCCCCCTCCTCAATATATGAGTCTTTTCATTTCTTTTTTATTTCATCATCTGAAAGCTTTGAACCTGTTCAGCAAAAAGGGAGGGGGGGGGGGGGGGGGGGGGGGGGGGAAGGAACACTAATTAAAAAGTTCAAATAAAGATTTTATTGAAATTTAAAACGTAAGAGAGGAACATTATATATAGTTAAAGTAGAAATTAGTTTTTTGTTTTATATATTTATATTTTAGAACTAGCATCTTTGTGTTATGGTAGTTGATGGTATTGAAATATATATACTTGTTATTATTATGGTTTCGTCTTACGGCCACTGCTAAACTACACACACACATATATATAAAAATATATATATTCTCTTTTGCAACTTTTCAGTTTGAAGATATCGACATTTTGATGATAGAATGAGGAGACAATTTGGAAGCGAGCCATGTAAAAAGGTCACTGCCATCTGGGTGAGCTATGATTATCTGAAATGTTGTTTTTTAATATATTTTTATTTCTATGCATAACACTTATTTTTAACTTAAGTATTATTAATAGGAATTACAAATATATTTAAATTTCTTTTTTCTTATGTTTTCTTAATATTCAGCTGGTAGAGAAGTATTACTCTTTGAAATGATTTTTCTAATTAATCGGATAGAATATTGTGTCTGTCTTTTTTTTATGTCTACTCTACATACTTATCTCCAATATCCTTAAGTTAGAATCACAATCAATCTTCACCTTTAGTGCCTACCACCCTTTCTCACAACAAGTTTTATGTTTGTTACTAGAACTTCTGAAATAAACCTTTGTTGTTAGCAAAATGCAAGAATTGTTTTCAATAAAAATTTATTTGGCCCTTTCTAAGTCATACTATTGTTGTTGAGAATGGTATTGCGGAGCCCAAAACCCTTTGCAAAAGATTCCTCCACCAATAGACCAAATGACAAACCACAATAAGTGGGTCGACACCACATCTCAACCCAAAATCTTAAGGCTGTAGGTTTAGGGGTCTTTTGCACTTATATGGTCATCACTTGATTCATGTTTAACCGACGTGGGAGTTCATTACTACTTACACTTGAATATTTCTAACATCCTCTTCTCAAGCATAAGACCCAACATCATACTCCCCCTTAAGGGCAACTTTTGTAGAAGTATTTTCTCTTCAAATAATATGGTCACACTAGCCTTCTGCGGAGGCTTCTTCAAGTACTTCACCATCTACATATACTCGGCCCAACCACAGCGGTTGCTCTGATACCACTGTTGAGAATGGTATGGGGGAACCCAAGACCTTTTGCAAAAGATTCCTCCTGTAACATCCTCATCTCGAGCCGGTTCAATTAACATACATATGATACAAACAGAAACAGCGGGAGACTTAACTTACGAAAATTCGGGCTAACTTTTTGTTTTTCTTTAATCCTTTGTCACATGACATATCACATTACATACTTCTTCTAATTTAATTCTTATTTGACGGAGAAGAAAATCGGACAGAATAACCTCTGTAAATCGGACAACTAGGGATTTGCAAATCCCACTCTCAAGGTACCCTGATAGACAATTTATACAGTATATGCTTTCAGACATACCAGATATCCATATAGGATCATATACCCATCCATGGGCGCATGCATAACTTGGCTTCGTGCCACTATGTCTAACAGCATGCAATCCAACACATAAACATAAACGGAATACTACATCATCATATCAACATGCCTGAATACTCAAATGTACATGCATCCAACTGAAAGATATGTACAAAATATATACAAGCCATATATAAAATAAAGGATCAGACATCATGATCACTAAATGAATAGAACACTATACAACAGTACATGTTCTCCAAAAATAACATTTATAATAAATAGTAAACTCCGGTTACCCAGAACTCCATATCCTCATACTAGTACCTCTAGCCACGGGTAGTGTCCTTGTCCCATGAGGGCTCTTTAATTAACTGTGTTCCTGAAATCATATCCCCAAACAGGGTTAGAGACAAATCTCTAGTAAGCTCCAGGTTTATAGAGAACTCTCCATACCCTGGGCTCACTTCCTGCATGACAGTCAGATACATAATATACAAAAACATCATATATCATACTATACTGAACATATCTCGTATAACATATCATTACTAAACAAAGCATATACACAAATCTTATCAGAGACGTATGCAGTCATTCCCAAGGGGATGACCCCAAGCGGAAATCAACGCACGTAACAAATATCATATACAAAAATCATCACAATAATCACATCAGAACAAAGCATATCATATCAGAGATGTACGTAGTCATTCCCAAGGGATGACCCCAAGCAGAAACCAACCTACATGTTCCCAAGGGAAGACCCCAAGCGGAACCAAAAACATATCAGAGATGTACACTATCAGTCCTGAGGGATGACCCCAAACAGACATCAGTGCACATAGGATCAATGGCCAAAGATCATCACATAACAGAGTGTACACAATCAATCCCAAGGGAGGACCCCAAGCGAAACTCAACATATAACAGATATATACACAGTCAGTCCCAAGGGAGGTCCCTAAGCGGATATCAGTGCATAAACAAATCAATGTCCATAAATCATTACAGAAATCATATTGAAACATATCAAAGTAAACACATTAAAAGATATCAAAGTAAACACATTAAAACATATCAAATTAAACACATCAAAACATATCAAATTTAACACATCAAAACATATCATATCACATCATCATATAACTCTATATGAATGCTTCTATATCAAATATCTCATACATATCATGCAACCTGACCACAGTCCGTACACTATGGCGAAACACAAAGTAGGAGCGAACCCCATAAACATAGAGCTTACCTCTCAAAGCTGTATAGATGGCCTACCCAACAATCGAGTTACCAAGCCTCCTCTGATATAGGATCCTCAACAAGACTCTTAGGCGCACCTAGAATAGGGAATCCATACAAATATCAATAAAATGGTTCAAAGTCAAGAAGTTAACCAGACACACCATTTATTGATTTCATCTTTTACTTATCAAATATTTCTTAACTATTCATACATATGGTATTGTTCATCTCTACGGTACTATTCATGTATACGTCATTATTCACGTATACGGTACTATTCATATATGTCACTATTCAAAAATACAGTATCTCAATTTTTCCAAATACATTTTCACTGTTAAAATCTTCATCTGAACACTTTTCTCAACATAAGCCAAGCCTCAATCAAGCTTTAACATGCTCAATCAAACAAAACTTTCTAAATTAAAACTTAAATTCAATCTTCCTCAAAACTCAAAGAAAACCTGGATTTCTCAACATAAACTTACCTAGAACGAAATGGAAGGCTTACTTCAAGCTCCCATGGCTTCAAGCTCCATCAAAATCCCCATTATCCATGAAATCCAAAATCTTAGATGAGGAAGATCTCTCTTTATAGTGAAACCCACCCAGAAATACTAGTACCAATGGATTCCTCTCGAAATTCTCACAAGTTTGGCTTTGGAACGGAGTGATTTGGAGGTCTCTAGCTCAAGTTATGATCCTTGGAAGATTTGATTTCAAACTTCCATTTTCCTTCTCTCCGCCACTGTCGTCCGCGAGGAGAAATAAGAATGAATCGTAAGTTTTTTAGAAATTTCACTTATATAGGTCAAGTTAAATTCAACTGGATAAATGTTTATCTAACTACACACCTCCAGTCATTACCAAACTTTACCCAATGGACTAGAATATTTTTCTAATCATATTTTTAACTTTACTTTCACTTTTCGGATAACTTTATTTACCCGCATTTTTATCTATTAACTGTCATTTTAACTCCTTTTTCACCAAAGAACTTTATTTCTTTTACTTCTAATTATTCTTCAACATTAAATCCACAACTACTAGTGAGGGCTATTATACCTCCACAATAGACCAAATGATAAACCACAATAAGTTGACTGACACCACATCTCAACTCAAAACTTAAGGTTGTAGGTTTATAGGTCTTTTGCATTTATATGGTCCTCACTTGGATCATGTTTCATTATTACTTACACTTGAATATTTCTAACAATTGCTGAAACGACTAAAATTCGTACAATTTTAGTTGCTAAAGCGCCATTGAAGAGAGAGAAAGCTAGGGATTTGGTATTCGAATCACGGCCATACTATTGGCATCTTGGGCATCAACCACGTTCAACAAAACTATTTTACAAGAGTCATAACAAATAGAGTGAACAAAAAATATTCAAACTCACAAGGGATTTCGATCTTATCTGCTTCTCTATCTTTGTTTTCGTTGATAAAGAGAAAGGGTGGGAGGAGAGAGAAATGGTGAGAGGCAATAAGGGGAAACAAAGGGATAAAATAGTTTATTTTATCTCGCAAATCTCCACTGTTGGATGAGATTATAATCTAACTGTGTTGAGAGGTGAAGGTAAAGGTAGGAAAAATAAAAGTAGTAGATAGAATAACCTAACACACACATACATATATATATATATATATATATATATATATATATATATATATATATTAGTTTGTCGGATGTACTATGACTGCACCTAAGAATTGGTGTAGTTACTTTATGTACTACCTGTAGTACATAGTTAAATTTCTGAAAAATAGAGGAAATGTATCATGTATTACCCGTAATACATAGGTAACTCCACTAATCCTTAGGTGCAGTCACATTACAAGTCATTTTGGCTATATATATACGGAGAGAGATCATTTGACTCTAGAGTAAGACTTATAAGTCTTACTCCTTATCTCAGCCCTTGATTTTTATCCATCCAACAGTTATAGTTTAGGAAATCATATTAATTAATTAATTATTAATTACATTACAAATGACAACCGTTGATTTCCGTCCATCAACGGCTAAGATGAGGAGTAAGACTTAAAAGTCTTACTCTGAAGTCAAAAGAACCCTCCTTATATGTATATATATGGAAAATTATACTCTAATGTTATATAAGTTTTATCTCTCATGTTACACTCATATAAAAAAATGTGCCTCAATTTTTTTTCCTTTTTTCTTTTTCTTTTAAAAATTGATGCACCCCACTTAATTTATTTCACAACATAAAATAACTTCTCTCCTACAACATAAGAAAAATACAGCCATATATATATATGGTTTTATGAATATAATGTTGCATTGTGTTATGTCATAGACACATAAATATTATGAGTGTCACCATTTTTATTTTTTGCATAACCATGTTTATATGGTATATTCTCATATTCTCCATAATACATTTTTTCATAATTTCTTTTCTTTTCTGGTTGACTAGTCCCTTGAAGTAATTTTTGATTATTCATCAGATGATATATATATATATATATATATATATATATATATATATATATATATATATATATATTCAGCACGAATTTGTTTGCTCCCATATTGATCCTTATACTTTTCAATTTGATTATGTTTACTTATTGAACCATAAGTTCTCCAACCATCTTTGACCACCATTTAGAAAATTGCTCCACGTAACCTTTCTCAACCACAAATTTTTTTCGCCCTTTGACGATTATGATTCCACTTTTCATGAGATTACAACTCATATTCTACATACTTCTAGCGTGGTGGTGAACAGAACCCTTCCAGATAACTCATAACTAATTAACTTTACTCTTATATTGGAGTGATGCACATGCATACAGGCAATAGAATTATATATTTGGAAGCTGGGAAGGAAGCAAGGGCATCATAACAAGAATGGAAGACCAAAAGGAACGAGCCAAGGTTGAGGACCAACCATGCACCCCTGACCCTGACCCTGACCCTATCAAATTTCCTCTCCTGAAAGCTAGGCAAGTACCTATCTTTTTCTTCCTAATAAGCTATAGCACATTTAACTAAGAAGAGCGCTAACTCAACTGATTTAATTAAAAGAATGATCAAAGTGTTGCTCAAAACCAAACAAGGATCTATTCTCAGCATATGATTTTTCTCACAAGAAAATGAATGGTGTGATTGTTCTCCCTTCTTGTAGTTGATAAGACATCTTGTTTTTATAGTTAGTTCCGTATGTATATTTACATTATTAGTCTCTTCTACTTTTGTATTAGTTTTTGTTGTTGGAGATATAAAAGACTAAACTTTTGGGGTTGTAGGCTTGTTAACATGGATTAGAAGCCTTCTCAACCATATAAAAATTTAAATATTAAAGGCTTTGATATGTTGCTAAAAGAACATCATATCAGAAACGTAAATAAATTTTAGAAGAAAACCAAAACATAACTCGATTAATTTCTACTTTTAACATCTTTACTCCTGGGTACCAAAGCTTCAATGCTTCCAAGACAAGGAAATAGTGATAATATGGTGAAAATCTATAGGGAGAAAATATGAAAACAGAAGAAAATGGATCCTCAAGAAGTTATCACATACAGATCTCGTTGATTTTTCTCAATAATGAGGTTAACACTTCAGGAAAAGAATTAGGTATACGTCTTGTACGTACTGATGATTTCCTCTTTTAAAAGATTGAGTTTAGGATAGCTCTGAGTGTTTGTTGTAAAGTAGAGTCCCATCACTAAACTTCGTTGATGTCAGGTCTCAAGGTTTAGTTTCAGGATCTGAATGAAAAAGAAATAAATGAATGTCTGCGAGAAACAAAGTGAAGGAAATGAGAGATTCAAATATATATTTCATTTCCATTGGTCCTGTAATGTTGGATATAAGCCAATCCTTTTAGCCTTAACCCAACAAAAGTGAACTTTGGAATTGTTGCTTTGCTGCTTTGCTTTCTCGAAGGGCTTAGGAACCTTCTTCACCAAGTGCTACACATTATGCATGAGTACCGCTCTGTGTTCTTCTACATGATTAAATCGTGTTTATATATATATATATATATATATTTAATCCGTGTGTTGATTTCGTCATGTGTTGGCAGGTAGGTTCATTCAGTTCAAGATCCCTAAAATAGTATATATTAAAAGTTTAAACGGCCTAATAAGTTCTTTCACTAAACCTACCATCCCAACGTCAATATATATTCTAGTCTATTTAACTTCTCTCATTGCAAGTGTCTAAAAAACATCTCTCTTGAGTGATTTTCTATTCATACTGATTATTGATACCACTTCTAAATTCAAGTTGTCCCTCACTCAATTTTAACTTTTCCTATATCAAACTTAAATAAAAACATATGGACCAATATTGTGTTGTTCATATTATGCATACTTAGTTAGGATTGTGAGTTCCATAATAAGACTTGTTGTGAGTCGTGTTATACACACACACACGTTATTATACCTACTTGTTTTTCTGTCTACCAACACCATTGAATCAAGATCTTTAGAGGAGAGAGAAAGGGTGAAGGTTAGTTGAGATTCTGATATAACGATATTGGAAATAAGTAAGCAAGGTAGACATTAAAAAAAGGTAGGTAGAATATCTTATTCCATATATATATTATAATGTGGGAATTTCCATATTATTACATTATATATACCTGCTCAGAAGAAGATAGCTAGCCAAGTCCTTCTTGTATCTCATCATCAGATAGTGGATATATTTGTGGAGCAATGCTTGGAATGGATTGAAGAAACAACAAGCATCCACCAATTTCAAATTGGTCTAGACTAGTTGCAGATGTAACTCCCCATATAAGCAAGCTAAAACAGTTGCACAACAACTATAGTTTACAACTACATGTAAGTCATCCAATAAAGGAAGATACATCAAGTGTACTCGAGAACCTGATGTATCCGGCATCATTGGGATGTTGTTGAATAACCACATTCATGGCATCTTGTAGAATTTCTCGGAACATTTCCTTTAACCAAGTTTAATAGATTGTCCTTTGAAACACATTGTTAGTGGCACTGCTCCTGATAATTGTTAATATATAGTTCATATTGTTAATTAACTAACCTAACACAATTGAAATTTAAATAGAAAATATAGTAGCATAATAAATAAATACATACACTATATATACTGGATTTGGAATAATGTGTGTTGAAAATAAAAAAAAACTGATCTCAGATGAAAATTTTAAAGAAAGATAGAATGAGAAGAAGATATCAGTCTGCTTAGATGGAGAAAAAGAGAACATATCAGTACTCAGTATATATATCACCTTCAAGATTTAAAAAAAAATTACAATTGAAAAATAAAAATTACATAATTATAAAAAGGGATAAATCATACACCCGAGTCTTATATAATATGCAAAGATGAAAACAATTGAAAACTTAAATAGAGAAGGTTCCTTTAATGTACAAGATCATCTTTACTCTTTCCCTTGTGATTATCTATCTATCTATCTATCTATCTATATATATATATATATACATACATACATGTAGTTGCTGATTTTCTCTCACAATAGATAGAAGAGGTCTTAGAATTCCAATGGGAAATAAGTATTATATATGGACTCTGTAAAAGATGAAGATTCTTCCTTTTGAGTGAAAGAGCATGCCAATAAAATGAAGACATATGAATTATATGCATTTACATTGATTCACACGCTTTATCATATGTGTATATGTAGGAATTAAGGCTTGACATGCTAATATATTTTGATACAAAGGAATAAAAATCATGCCCACTTCCATAATAATTATATTATAGCTACACTTTCACTATTTCTTCAGTCAGTCTGTGCATTTTGCAAATTAGGATATTCCACCATACCATCAGATCTTGTATATATAAATTCATAATGATAAAGATAACTAAACTTACTTCATAGGGAAACAAAAAGAAAGATCAGATGTTGTTAACTTGATACTGTTAAAACAAAAGACAATGTTTGAGATGAAGCAAAGCATCCTGTGAAAGAAATAAAAAAGACTTGAATACTTGTACAAAATAACTCTAGGCTTTTCACATTCTTGTGTGATTTTTATTGTATCTGTTGTGAAATTTTAAAGTGGACATATTTACACTCTTCCTTGTTTGTTTCATGCATATATATATATATAAAAGTCTCTTCATATGGATATTCATTTTATCTGAATTTCTTGTTAATTTGCAAAATTTCAAAATAAAAAATTTCTTACAGGATAATTAATTAATAATCTAAATCCGCAAATGCTTGCCCAACATCTATAGGTCAACCTCAAACAAAAGCTCAAAGATCTTGAATTTTCTTCAGTACCTCCTCCTCTTATGACCAATAATGCTGGAAAAGTTTCTGACCATGGAATATATTAGTCAATATAGAATATTATCAAATTATATAAATATTGAAATCTGCTAGAGGGGACATTTTATTTATAAATATAAATTGGAATTAATATAATGTCAGCCACACTTTCAATAATGGACTGAAATAATACACGCAGCATAGTTTGTGCCAACTGTCACATGCCCTTAATTGGCTGATCTTGAGCAAAAATATCAAAATGGAATATAGGACAGAAAAAGGTTACTGGTGGAAAAACACATAAAGATGCCTCCATGATTCCTTGTCAAAGCACAAGAGAGTTCATTCAGATATCAGATAACGCTGAAAAACTAACATATTACTATAGACGGGGATTGTTGCACTCTTCCCAAGATTTTCCAATGATTTGAAGCCCTAAAAAATCAATACTAAAATCTGTAAATACCACTAAAATCGCAAGTGATTGATTTCAAGTAAGAATTTTTTTTTCTCTTGTTCATAAAGAAAAAAACACATACCTGTAGATAGATTCATGCTGGCTATTGCACAAAAGTTGGAGCGGCCATTGGAACCATTAGCATCCCAATTTGGAGACAAATTGGGGAAGGAGTGATAGTCACTTGTGTTAGAACTTGGTTCCTTAGGGATCACAATGTTTTGGTGATGAGAATTAGACATTAAAGATTGCTTCAACTTTCTCTTGATCACAATGGATTGCTCAATAACGGTGAAGTCATCTCTGGCAGTGTCTTCAGTTTGAATGGGTGACCTCATCAATTGGTTCAGGATTTGAGGATTTTCAGTTGCAGGGCACTTTTTCTTCATGTCTTGTACCTTCCCAGAACCACTTGTGTTAATGTTGCACATCTTGTTACTTGTCCTTTCCCTTGCTCTTGCCCTTGCTTTTTCCCTTGTTTCCTTCATCTTTGCTCGAACACAAGCAGGTTCTTTCTGTGCCCTCTTCATCTTATTCCTCTCTTTGGAATCTACTAGTTCTGGAGTAGTATCACTGTTGTCTTGGTTGATCATAGAAACCACTTCGCCATCTGAAGAGGAGGAGAAGCTATTGTTAAAACCAGTGCTACTGTGCTTGCTAAGAATTAGTTCCTTAATTGCTTTCTTGGATTTGGTGAAGAGCCACTCAAGGGTGTTGCTTGCTTTGTCAAACCCTAAGGTGTCTTGAAGATCAAAGAACTTGCGTGCGATCTCAATGGACAATCTCACCCTTCTGTCCCTCAAACCCTGAGATGTGTGAATCTTGCTGTGCCTATCTTTCTTTGCAGGTTTCTTTTTAAGAGAATTGGAAATATTCCCATAATGTGAACCAGTACTAACATCATGTTTGAGCATTGCAGCAGCACAGTCTGCAACAGCCCAATTGGTAAGTGTTTCTGGGATTATTGGAGCATGATGAGAGGGTAAATATGGAACAGAAAGTGGATCATGAAGAAAGGTGGTGTTATTTGCAGAAGCATTTTCAGGGTTAAGGTAAGTAAAAGGAGGGTATGATGAAGAAGATGAAGGGAAACAAGGGTAGTAAGAAGAAGGGCCTGAAGAGCTGTTGTAAGTGGAAGGGAACATCTGCAAACTTTGCAATTGATTCCAATGGACAAAAACCCTAGCTTCTCTGGGTTGAAGAGCTATAATGAACAAGAGCTTTGCCTGAGTAAAAGATTTATACAAATCTTTTACTGAGCACTATAACAAATCCCAGAAAAAAAGAAAGAAAGAAAGTGGTTTCAGAGAAACTGCTAAGAGGAAGAATTTCATTTAGACCAATGATGGAACTGGATTTTGCTTTACACAGTTTTCATTATAATGCAAATACACCTCCATATTTATCTGAGTGTGCTGAACCAGATACCATGGAGGTGGGGACTAGAGAGAGAGAGAGAGAGAGAGCAGACATATAGTAATAGTATTAAGTAGCAGAGGATAGGACACACATAATTAGTGGATTGTGTTGTGTGCCACATTATGTGCAAGCAACGTAAGCAGTGCAGGGTCAAATCATTCAACTTTTGAGCCCGTTATATACTTGTGTGTATATATGTTATGAATGTGAATGTTTGGTGTAGATTGATAGGGTTAGGGTTATCCGTAGTTTTGCAGAGAATTTGAAGGAATATTCAAGAATTAAAAGTATGTTTACGTTAATATACATGCTTAATTAATTTTTTGTTGCTGAAAAAAGGAGGTGAAGGGTGGGTCTCCTGCTGCTCAAGAAATTAACGAGAGAGATCGGATTCACGTTTCTGACCCAATTAAGGACCATGAAATTAAAGTAACAGTACGAAGCTGTGTAAATTATAGTGTAACTTTTTAAAATTTAGGAAATGTGAAATTACTCTATTCTAAGAATAGGGTTTATCATAAGCTTAAGAGTAAAATTCAAAGCTTTTTTTTTTGTTGATGTTGTTGCATGTTATCAATTAAACCAAACTTGTTGTTTCCAAGTATATCGTCTTTAGAAGGAATTTAAAATTTTAATTTCGAAGACCTGCTTCTGGAATCGGATTAGTATATTTGTTGGCATCGCCTCAATTTTTAATTTACTGATATGTATAATTTTGTATTAAAATAGCTTTTATTTAATTATAATGTATAAAATTTTCCAACACTTACAAACTTGCTTAAATTGTATTGAAAGTTATGAAATGAGCAAAAAAGACAAAGTGGTAATTACAAAGATTAGTGTTCTTTTGACTGGGGCCGTACCACCTAGTGTCATTTTCAATCTCTGACACCAATTGCTCTGCTGCAAGGTGGGGGTTACTTCTTCTTCTCTGATCAAGCAGTTTGTAAATTACGAAGTGTAGTTATAGTGGTTACAAATTTACCATATAACAAAAGGTATTAATATAACGGCTTTATTAATCTTATATTGTAGGAAAGAAGTTCTCTCCTACCATAGAGACAATTATGGGTGGGGTTCACTCATTTATAAAAAATAAAAAAATTAAAATTAAACTACACAGAAATCAATGAGTATGTAGAAAAGAGTATTATCTTATGTTGCATAAGAATAATATTTCCCTTAATATAATGGCTGTTAGTCTTTCATAATCTAGTTATTTGGGTTTGCCCCACCATGACCAATGGGAAAGAAAATATAATAATAGTAGCTGGTACTACATACTTGTGAATCCCAACTTGGATCTGAAAATCAGCACTGTGCGTTTGAAAATGGTTTGAAATAAATCTGTCTGAGCGGATATGAAGGCTTTGATGCTGGCATTGCGCTCAACATTTTCCTCTCTCTCTCTCTCCCTGACCAACTAAATAAAGTAAAGTCATGGAGGATCTTAGGTTACTTTTCTCAAAAAGCCATCCAAAAGGGGAATATAACTATCTCTTGACCTCATTCTTTTACCCTCCCCTTTGTAGTAAACTAGAAAATAGAAATCACCATTCACCATTCAGAAATCACCATTCACAAGTATACTAGTATAGTTACTATATATAGTATGATTTTAAATTTGTTAATAATATATATGCCACAACCTTTACACCGCATGCACAATGGTTCATGATCTTCAAAATGTAATTACAAATTTGCATAATTATAACTTAATCATATTGAGAAATATAATATTAAATTATTAAAGTGACTTTTATCTAATATTTTTAATTTTTTGGTTGAATTTGTTTTTTTATATGATACAAGAGTCTTTGTGTGGAGGCTAGAAACTCATGAATTTGATCCTTACTCTCTCATTTTATTAATAAATAATTAAATATTATGAATTTTTTTAGCAGAGTTAGGTTAGTTTGTGTATTATCCACCTTTGAAGTTTTATAAACTCTTGTATGAATTAGTGCATTAAAAAAATATAATATAAAATTATTAATACAGTATTTAATTACCTAATAATTTAAACTTGTAAGTTGAATTGGTTGATTTAAAAAACATATTTAAAATTTGGAGTAAATTAACTAGGCCAATTAATTTAAGTCAACTTATTAATTATTTTTAATATTTTATTTTTTTAATGTTTTTATAGTTTTTTATTGTTAAATATAAACAAATATATTCTTACCTGGATATATTAAATTCTAACTCTCGTATAGGAACATCCGTAACTTGCCACTTGTTTTTAATAACGACAACATTTTACATTTATTGTGCAAGATATTCTCAGGCGTTCTTAAAGTAATAAATCGAAGTCGTTGTTGTTGGTGATTAACCTCAAATAGTATTGTTACGTTCACTAAAAATTATGTAGACTTATCATGAGTAGAAAGTAGAACAGGCAAGTATCCCATTAACATATCCATTGGAAAGTCAATTTACAAAAAGTTGATATTAAATAATTGATAATTAATTTAGGACTCAATCAAGATTATGATACTTACTTCTTTTTTTTTTTTTTTGAGAAACTAATTATGATAGTTACTAACTTGAGTTATAAATTGTTAAAATCACAAAAACACCTAAACACAAATATATCATTGTTGGGAATTCAAGTTTGAGTATCAGTTAGAAATGTGCTAACTGAGGACCAAGGATTCATAAATCCAATATCTTATAGTTTTGAGTTTAGATGTGGTGTCTAAGCCCACTTGTGATAGAGAGTTTATACTTTATAGCTTAACTCATTTGATGGTAGATTTCCTCGTACCATGCACTCCCTTGTTACCCAACATTGGTATCAGAGTCAATGGTTGATTGGACCATGTGCGAGCCGCATATTTAGAGATGATGTGATTAGTGTTCAGGTTTGTTAGTCTTCCAAACTCATGATAAGGAGGCAAAGTCTTGATGAGTGGAGCCACGCCTTATTGTAATTCCATAAATACTTAAAGAAAACTCCACTTGAAAGAATGTTATAATCTAAGTGCGAATAGTAAAGTCTCACATTGGTTAGAAATATTCTAAATGAGGATCATATAAGTAAAATGACTTATTTTGAAGTGTATTAGGATTTTGGTTGAGATGTAGTGTTTGAGATCACTTATTATATAAAGTCTATAACTTATCCCATTTTATGGCAAATCTACCCGTATCATGGGCTCCCCCCAAAAATAATTAGGAGGAAAAATTGTGTGTTGGAGAGAAATCGCCTATTTACATAACCTTAGATATTTTACCTATCATTTTGTTTGGGTTGTTTTAGTAAATTTTTTTTTTTTTTTTTGTAATAAAGAAGGAGGCAAGGTCCTATAACAGAACAAAACTAAGAAACTACAACTAAGTTTTAGTAAATTATTTTCGATATTCTTATATCTCTTTCATTTTTGGTTTTAGGATTATTTAATTTTTGGGAGTTATTAATCTTATGTTACATAAGATAGATATCTTATGTGGGTGAAGCAAAGTTGTGGGGCCCACAATTAAAAAAAAATCAAAAATGAAGAGAAAAAATGAGCACAAAATTTCATGAGTGTACAACATAAGATAGTTGTCTTATGTGATATAAGACAACTATTTCCCTTAATTTTTATAACGAAACATATGGTAAGCCATATCAAAGATATTGTACTAGCTAGGTAAACTTGATTTGGATATCAAATTCGAATTACGCTATTGCGGATGACTCCCCAATATAGTAAGTCTAACTCACTCAATATTATCGGGATGATTGAGAAGCTATCCTCTTTTTTCTAACACGTGATTGCTAAATCAAATTCATGTCTGATATCCCTTACACGCAAGGTGGTAAAATTCACATCATAGTTAACTCGCAAGATATTTTTTTAAATTATATAAACGAACTTATGATACATCATTCAATTATATATATATATATATATATATATATATATATATATATATATATATATATATATAGATAAGAGACAAATCATTTGACTCCAGAGTAAGACTTGTAAATCTTATTCCTCATCCTAACCGTTGATTTTCGTCCATCCAGCGGTTACAGTTTAGGAAGTTATATTAATTAATTAATTATTAATTATACTATAAATGACAACCGTTGATTTTTGTCCATCAACGGCTGAGATGGGGAGTAAGACTCAAAAGTCTTATTCTGGAGTCAAAAGAACCCTCTCCATATATATATATATATATATATATATATATATATATATATATATATATATATATATATATATATACGGAAAGGGATCATTTGACTCCAGAGTAAGATTTAAAAGTCTTACTCCTCATCTCAGTCCTTGATTTACGTTCATCCAACGGTTATCATTTATTTGAAATTAATAATTAATTAATTGTTGTAACTCATTAAATTATAACCGTTAGATAAACAGAAATCACGGGCTGGGATGAGGAGTAAGACTTTTAAATATTACTCTGGAGTCAAAAGATCTATCCCTTATATATATATATATATATATATATATATATATATATATATATATATATATATATGGGAAAAGTTAACCAAAAAAAAAAAGTTTTTTTCATTTCAAGATTGGTTATGGGCTAAATACTTGGCCTAAGGTACTCAGGTTAAGGGGAAACAATACCAATATTGAATTTTATACTTAAAGGAGAGATTGTTAGAGTATTCAAGTGTGATGAGTCTTACATATATTGTTGGTAATAGACTAAGTAAAGTGCATGTAAGTAGGAAGACTCATGAACCCAAAGTTTTAAGATTTTGGTTGAGATATGACGTCGAACCCATTTGATTCGACACCCATGGTGGGAGACCACCACCGATGAGTCAAGGCTACACCATCATATCAACTGGGTTCGACACCATATCACAACCTAAAATCTTAAGACATTGGGTTCATGAGATCTTCCACTTATATGAATTTTACTTATCCTATTATCAACTAATATGAGATTCATCATACTTAAATAACCCAATATAAGAGATACAAAAAGCTTTAACGAAAGCTAATTCTGAACTAGCGTCGCACAAATTCTAAACAAAATAGAACTAATGTTATTTTATATTCGAAATATGAATTACTAGATAATTAAGGAGCTGAATCTTACCCAAATATTACTATTTATAAGAAAAATACACGTATAATGTATAAAAGATTAATGGCTAGTTTGGTGGACAAGATAAGATAAGAACGGATAAGATAAGAGAGTTGGATAAAGGTAGGATATGATATGTGGCTGATAAGCTTATATCATGTCCTGTGTTTAATGAATACCTGATTAGCAATCTGAAAAGATTATGAAATTTGTTCTGTTTAAGATAACCCAATTCAGAAA